ATGATGTTTTCCTGCAAATAATTACCCAATGTAATTACCCATTAAGCCTGATTCAATTCAGATTCAGATTTAAGTAGTGCTTAAATATATGGCCAACTATTTATTCCGTTTTTATTTTTCTATTCGAGTGTAATATCCCGTTAACGTTGTCACGTTTGCTCGCTGAAATCGAACGTTTAAGACGCGACAGCAAGTCAAACAATGACGCGGCCCACACGGCGTATGTGTAATGTGTTAAAAATGACGGGTCCTCGCGTCTGCTGTCGGGGATTAGTGCCAAGTGGCTTGGGTTGAGTTGGGATATGCGGGCGTGTGTCCTTGAAACTAAAGGCCCGAAACTGAAACTGAAACTTTTTGGCCTGACATTCGAGTTGCGGACGTACAAACGGGGCCAAAAGAGCGAAGAGCTAAGAGCAATCTTACTTAACACAAAATATATTGTGGCAGCGCCATTTTCAATGGCTTCGAGGGCTGTTCAAACAGTTTCTTTTGGTGGCTTTTGTCAGAGTGCTCGAACCGATGGCTTAACCCACTCGCACGGAGCTTAGATTAATGTTTGCCTGGCAGACACAAAGGATATTTGATAAATGATCCCTGCCATTATGTGCTCCTCCATCTATCTAGCCGCTCAACATGTGTAAGTACATTTATACGAGCGACAGTGAATGGTTCTCTGTTTTTTTGGCCAGTAAGTATATAGAGAGATCAGCCTTTAAGTGTTCCTGAAGGGCCGTAAGTCTTCATGCCACTCTATTGGCCTGTAAAAGAGAATTTTGGTAACTGAAATAAATTTCTGAAGAATAAAAGTTACATTAGTTGTTTAAGTTTGAAAACAATTCTTATTATTGCAGTTATTTTCTTCATTTTTCTTCTTGGAAATTAAACTATTTGTCTATGGTATTATCTTAGAGCAACTTTTACTAAGAAATCCACTTAGTGGTCAACAAAGACTCTTGAAATTCACTGGAAACCTGCATATTTTCTTTCCTCTCTTCCTGCAATCATATTTCTCATTTAAATATGAGAAATTCTGTGCTCACAAAAACTTTTACAGAGAACTCTCAATTATCGAAAGTAGAATGCAATTTAAATGCAGAATTTCCCAGACATGTTCAAAGTTCTACGAATTTAATTGCCAGACCCCAAAGCCAATCACTTTGTTTTGAGTTGTCTAGAAAACCGAGCAGGGAAAATTACCTCCCTTAAGTGTAGTTCAAAGATATGTATTTGTTTTCATTTTCCGGCCTGCGAACACACAACCGAAAATTAATTACAATTGCCCGGCGAGTAATTGACATTGGCCCTAGTTCGTGCAGGCAGGTGTCCATGTCCAGGCCTCGGACCGCTTGATGTCCTGGGCCAACTGGGCGCTGGCCGGTGTCAAAGTCTGCCTGGCAAAACAAGCGACAGAACAGGACTGGCTAGTTGGGCGGTGGCTGCTCGAGAGGATTCCCCTTCAACTGTCAAAACACACAGGACACAAAACGTCATATTAAAGTAATTAAGTGGCATAACAACTTTGGGGCATGCATGGGACAGGACATGGACGCTGTTGAGGTTTCCCTGGCAAATTGCCTTATTGACTCATTAGCCCGCTTTTGAGCGTCATTAGCCAGGACATTGCGGGTCCGATGGCCAGGAGGAATTTAATAAAAACAGTCAAGTGGGATGGACGTATTAAATTTGCATAGTAATGGCTGGGGGAAGATGAGTCCTGCGGAACCCGAGATTGTACGCATAATCTTATCGAATGATTTAATTCTGCGGGTTCCTCCCAGTTTCTGGCGCTGGCAGCCTGGCTTGCCGTCCTTTTGTGATGCCTATCTTGGCCAGGGAGTCCGGGACCCTACTACATACCCATCCTGGTTGGTTATCTGTGCTGGTCACGGGCAAATGAGCAGCAAGGACATCTTCGACTCCAGTGGAGGCCATTTGCCAGGCCAATTACTCCCATTTTGCCATGGCAATTGCTGGCTCCTGGATATCCTCACAACAAACGGGAGAGTACCTTCATGCATATCCTGTTCGAGTGGATTCCACGAGTTCCAATTCAGAGTCACTCACCACTCGAAATAAATCAGATGAGCGTCGAGCGCTCTTCAAAGGAGGCCTCACTTCTGAATTTTTATTAACCATTATTGCATATGTATTTTTTCAAGGCCCAAACAGAGAGAGAAATATATTTTTTTGTATGTTAAATCAATAATCCAAAAAATAATCCTCATGTTCATAAGGATTAAATTTAATGGCAATTATTAAAAATTGTTTGACAAGCTTAAAATAAATATATATTATATCCCCAGCTGTGGACTCTTTTTCAGTATAATTTTTTTATTTATCCAAGATTTTATTTGCAAGTATATTTCATGTTTTACTATTTTGCAAAATTGTTATTGCTCGAAGCCTCTTAATTTTTATTTTTATCCGGATGAACAAAATTCTCAATAATAGCAAAAAAGGTAGCTATTCATATGCTGCCAAGATTGTTTTATAATCTTTATTAAAGACCTTCACGTCCTGCATTATTTTCCCGTTTTTGTTTTCTACTTTTAAAATACTTCCCTTGTTTAATTTATGATGGGGAATTTGCCCTCAATTAAAATGCTTTTTATGCATGTCTCCCTTAATCGACGGGTGAATATTTTTTCGCGAAAATAATCAACTTTTTGACCTTTTTGGCGTATGCAAACAGCTTTGACATCCTTTGGCTCTGTGGCGTTTTTCCTCGTTGATTGTATAAAGGCCAGGGCCACTTAGCGAGTGAAATGCTGCAATTCCTCGTTGAATTTTTCACACTGTCAGTAACCGAGACTTCTCTCTCTCTATCCATAGTTGTTATTTTTTTGCCCCATTTTGCAGATTGCACAACCAGGTAACTGTAACGATTGTACAAAGCCAGGAGAGTGTCCTGGCAGCTCGTCAGGCGGCTTAGCATTTAAATGGCTACAACAGTTTCAGACGTTAAAACCGCATTTAACCCTCGACCTGGACCCACTTGGCCTGTTTTGTTAAATCGAAAAGCTTGGCTTTAAAGGCTTCGGCTTCGGCTTCGGCTTCGGCTTCGACATCGAGAAATCGCTTTATGCCTTGGCTTAGTTCCCGGAAAATTGCTGTGGCTAATGGCTATTTATTATCGAATATTTGCGCAACTAATGCTGACCAGGAATTCGGTTTGCTTTGTTGAGCACCAAGTTATGAAGGTTCGATGGGCGGATTAATGCAGGGATCCCAAGGAGTGGGCACCGGGATACCCTTGACAGTATGTCTGGGATTTAGCCACCTACTGGGTAGCAAACAACAGAAAAAAAAGGTTAGTCAAAGTTTTTTCTTTTTGCTTTTTGCTTAAATTCAAAGGCCAGCAAAGTCAACAGTTTTTAAAACCGCAAATGGGGAAAGCACGAAAATTTGGCCATGAATGAGAGTGAATGAAACCCATAAAAAGGCCAAGAGAAGTCGCCCGGAGAGTATCAATAAAGGCCGTGTAAGCCGCCAGCCAGAGTAAACGAAGGCGAAAGGTCAATGTAAAAAGTGCCAGGCCACAATAAAAAGAAACAGTCGCCGCAGCCAACGAAAAACCACCGAAAAAAAATATCGCAAAATGGGGAAAACTGAAGAAAAGCTGAAGGCGGCAAAGCCCAACGATGCGTGCACATAAAAAGGCAACGGCAATACGCACAAATATACATTGTAGAATGCCTGTAAATATATATGTATAACTACACAAGTTGAGGGATTGTAATTACAAGATTCGACCTAGAGATACCCTAGAATACGAAGCTCTTAATATTTAATATAATTTCATGAGAATAACTTACTTCTAGACACATTTTCAAGCCAAGTTTCCATATTATTTCCTCAAAAACTTTGAACATATGCTCTAAATTAAATTTAAGTAAATATTATGTTTATAAATGGTAAACCCTTTCAGATATTCCGCTGCAAGCCATAAAAATGTTTACACCCACTTTATTACACCTGCAAAAAACCGAATATTAAAACTGAAAAATAAATATAAAATCACACTCTATAAATTCAAAGCCTTCCAAGTGAAGAACCCTGGCAAATGCCTCCCAAACTACCCATAAGTTATAAAAGTATACAAGGTATTCGCAATTTCAGAGACAGCTCGTAAAAGCCGCTGGAAAAAAAGCAAAAGTATCCGGAAGGATATAGCGACCGCGGCTGGGAATTTGAATACAAACGCACCGCGTCACTCGTAAACTTAAAGCTATTTATTTAATTTTTTAAAGCACGCAATTTACATTAAAGGCTGAGGGGGAAACCGCCAGAGGGCCGTGAGACCGTGGGAATAGGGAGACAAAGGGGACATTGTTTTTCCAGGGAATCAATTACATCCTTAGTGCGCCCAAGGAACTCATCTTCCTCTGCAGTATTCCGCTTCCTCTCTCTCTCTCTCTTTGTATCGACTTGGCCTGGCTGCAAGCGATTTTTTGATTAGCTTCCGCCCACTCAGAGTCCTGGTTTCTAAGTCCCGAGTCCTGGGCGGGATGCCAGTGGGGCAGGGATAATGCATGGCATGCCGAAAAGGAGGAGCAGGTAATAAAATAATAAAAATTCTGTTTTGATTTTGGCCTTCCTTTCTTCTTCCCGGGTTTCCCCTGGTTTCCATTGCAAACCGTGTTCCAAATACGATGACGTACACGCACCCAAAAATAGCAACAGCTTGCTTAAAAAAAATTATAGGTATACCCTGCCACAGGATATGGGTATAAGGATGAATTCAGCTGACAGAAATATGGGTTTTTTGCGAGTAAAAAATAGATTTGGCTATGAGACCTGCTATTAAACTTTATAATTAAAAAAAAAAGTAAATACTATTGGAAATTGGAAAAACTTTCTCACTTCCTTTAAAAGAAGCTTAAAAATTACATCATATTGACTTTGAAATGTTAATTACATTACCTTTGCTTAAAATATATTTATTTAACATTTAAAAAATAAGAAAAATAACTTTATAACTTTAACAAAAAACAATCACAATCAAATAACTTCATGAAGAGTATCCCCAAGCCCACATGGGATATCCGTACACCTTGTTTTTCCCTCTTTGTTTGCAAGCTTTTTTTACGTGTTATGGCAACCAGTCGTTGAAATAACAAGGAGCCCATCAAACAGCAGACATGGCCTCAGCTCCTGGCATCAGCGAAGCCAATGCGATTCCTCTCCATGTCGAACTCCGTATAGTATTTGCCCAAAAAGACATCCCCCAGAATCCACAGGGGACCGCGAGGCGAGGGCAGATCCACGGCAATGAAGGCGGAAAAGCACATCTTTCGATCCCGAAAAACATAATCGGGACCATCCAGGTAAAATTGGCGATCTCCCAATGTGAAGGTGATTCTGGGCAGTTTGGAAACCGCATTACAATTCACAAAGAACTGGCCATACGGCGAGGGTCTTCCGCCAATGGATTCATTAATGACTATGGCCTGGTCGTAGGGCAAAGCTAAGAAGGATGTGCCCGTGTCTACTATCACCTCGCAGCCATTCTGACACAGTTCCATGCCCTTGATAATGGCCGAGGTCATTTTCACCTGCCAATAGGCTTGATAGCTCACCTGGACATAGGTGAAGTTGCCGGTATAGTAGTCTGGATTCGAGCCACCGAAAAAGATGTAACCTCCGTCCGATTTACCCTTCCTGTTCAGGTAGACACTAAAGACGGGTGCTGCTAGTAGGTTTTGTTCCATCATCGCGTAAAACGGGGGCTTCACCCGCAGCATGGAAATGCTCCTGTAGCCCAAACCGAAAATCCCATCGAACTTGGCGGCCAGGAAGATCGGTCCCGGCATATCCGTGGCCTCTGCAAATATTTGATTCTCAATCTGCAGACCAGCCACTCCGACAGTGTCCTTTGAGAGGAAACCCGAAAGGCTTCCACTGCCATAATGGATGGCAAATGGGTGTCCTTGAGCCTGGTAGGAGTATGACTTTTTGGAGAAGTATCTATTGTGGACACGACAGGCCACCATTGAGTAGGCACAGCTGCCGGAGGGCACCCACAGATTCGAGGAGCCTGTGTCAAAGATCACTTTGAAGCTCTGCGGCGGGGAGCCAATGGTGATGGGTCCAAAGTACTGGGCATCTAGGTAATTGCTCAGCGGCACACCCTTGGGCTCTTGGTGTAGCTCCTCCCAACTATTGCCCCGCTCCTCGGTGTATTTCAAACGCAGTCTATCCATCCGGATGCCCAGCATCCCAAAGCGATGACGGGCGGAGGGAAAACGATGCAACGGGACTGAATAAAGCTCTCCACTGCAGATAACCGGAAGTAGCAGCAGCAACGGAAATAGCGAAAACCACAGCCACATAATGCTATCAAAAGCGGATAAGCGATATCTGAGTTTCGAGTAAAAAACAAGGTGGAAAGTGACAGTTTGAATGATAAATCAAAGCGAAGGCAAGTTGATATGATAAAGCGGCGGAAAAGTGAAAAACAACTCCCACGCAAATTGTTGTGAAATATATTGTGTTTAAATATTTCAATTGCATATGCGCTGTTTCCGATTTCAGAATAAAGAAGGTTTTTGTAGGGTTTAGAACTTTGGTTACCTATTAAAAGGATATTTTCTACAATTTAATAAATTAAATGAGATTTTCGTACTCAAATTTAATGAAAATGTGTCAATAGACAGCTTAGCCTAATGGCACATTTCTTTAATATCCTACATATTTTATCCCAACCTATTTCTCCCTCTTTTGACATTCATATCACACCGCAAAATCTATAGTACCTCACCCTGCGATATGAGTACCCAGCAGCATAAAAATTTCCATGAAAATGTAATTGGAAATGTGAAACGTCTGTGTGGCGGCAGCATTTTTTGAATCGAACTCCAATCGAATATGTACAAGGGGCAAGGACGTGCGAACGTGAGGGGAAGGGAAGCCTTTTCATTGCAATGCGAAAGCATCGAAAGGTGTCGAGTTCAAGTCGAATCAATGTGCGAATCAATACTACACATAAAGGCGGGTATTTTGCAGCGAGGGGCAGGGGCTTCTAATTGTAGTTCTTGCTGCTCGATTGCACTTTTCTTTTCGCCATTTGCATAAAGAGATGTGCTCAATTGCTTGGATACGAGTGTCTATCAAATGTGTTTCTGGGACTTTCGGGGGTAAACATCCCTGGCGAAGCTCCAATTAAAACGTCAGCCCAGTCTGGCTAATGCGACAATAACAAGTCCCACACTGTGAGCCCTACAATGATAACAGGAAAGCGAGGACTCACTCAGAACCCAAATACAAAAATCCCAAAAAACCTTTTCAGACGTCGCCGCCAGCTGTCAGTGACAGGCCACACCTGTGCTAATGGGAACCAGGAATAACCAACAATGACGGGAATGGTATTCTTTGCATTATTTTTATCCCAGCAAGTCGCCTTCTGAGGGCTTGTCAGCACAATTAATTATTGCATTTCGCTTTTGGTGGAGAACCCAAAAAAAGGATTGGCGAATGCGAGGACAAGCACTCACAGGTTAATTGAAGACGACTTTGCTTGGCTCTGGGAAAATAAAATTATCGGCAGAATTCAAATTGCATCAGCCATTAGGCAAAAAGGCAGGAGAGTTAAGCAGGCACTCATTGAATTAGGCAAACACAATTAAAGTTACGGGGCAGGACAACTTTCGGTTGTCAGGAAAATCAGCAAAATCAGTCACTGGGACAGAGTTAAAGTCAAAAGTCATGTCGGTGACAGGAAGTGGACTGGATGGGGGGCAGAGAATGAGGTTGAGGCTGAGGCTGAGGCTGAGCTGTTGTGAAAAGCTGTCACCGAGTGTCAGGAGCCAAAGAAAACTTGTGTGTGGCAACACTTGTTGATTTTTTGGTAAAACGAAACGAAAAGTTTGTCGGGTTTTTATCCCGTCCCCAGGTTGCTCCCCTGTTTTCCGGTTTTCCCCGCTTCGACCTGTGTCCACCACAAGGAAAAAGGTAAACTCCGTCTTAAATTGGAAAGCGGAAATTGCAGGCAGCACATTTTGTATTCTTTGATGCTTATAAATTAGGTTTGGTTTTCAGCCAAAAAACCCCAACCGAAAAAACGGGGCAAAAGAATTCCCAGCCTGCTAATACGAAAGAGATAGAGTTCCAAAAGATGGCCAGCCCACACAGCTGTCCAAAAGTTTTTGGCCAGGAACTGCAGGCCATGTGGTCTTTCTGGGCCTTCTTTCTTTTCCCTTTTCCCCTAAAAAAAAAACCAATTATAAGGCAAAACTTTCACTCGGCTATCTACATTTTGGCACACGGTAAAAAGGATGCTTGGCTCTTTAAATGTAGCTGCCTTTTCAGAGAGATCTACTATGTGGCCAAAATAACATTTATATATACAGTAGACTGACTTGTTGCCGTTTAAAATTATTTATGGGCCAATTAGTGGGGTCGAAAACCAAAACCGAAAACCAAAAAACAGGCAAACTTCGAGTTGGGTATCCAGTTTATTGATTTGTTTCGCAGCAGGCGAAAGTTTTTCCCCCCAGTCAGCCAGCAATCCCTTTAACCCTAACAGGATTGTTGGGGGAAATATGAACAAGGACCCGGCGAGTGTTTTGTGTGAACTCGAACTCGCATCCGGTGTATCCTGTTTTCCTGTCATTTTCCCCCTGCGGCAGCCTGCATTACTCAGTTGCAAGTGTCAATGGAGCAGCTGGAATATGGAAATAAATTGCCAGTGCCACGAGACGTAGAATAGTGCGGGGAAATTGAAAAGTTCACTGCCGCCACAGGAGGTGTTAAATTTCTGCAGGATTACAGAACGGAAGGATAATGTGCTGCGTGCTGTGTCAGTTTATGAGGCAAAGTATGATGAATAAGTACCAGGGAGCAGAAAGGAAAGAGATGATGTGATGGCCCTTAAGCGTTCCTCTTAACTCATTAACGCGCTGATTTTCGCACTTAAGACCTGCGGTCAAATTAAGCCGCTTAAAGGCCGGGAAAATGGCTTTGCCTTCGGCATTGATTGATATCCTTTTGAAGCAATCAATTAAGGGAACAACCGTGCCAAACACTTTGCACATGATTTTGATTGATTTTGCTTTGCCATACACATCGGCGAAATATAAAGCCGTCATTCTATATGGGAGTAATTAGTATGCATTGCAAATTCCATTCGCCTTTTTAGCTGAGGAACCGGAGTGCATATAGTATGCTGGCTGGAGCTCAACTCCCCTGCCAGAGCCCGGAGCAGCAGCTGTCCCAATTCGATTTGCATAAAGAATGTCTCCCTCTCTCTTCCCCTGGCAGCCTGTGGAAATTGTTTTTAAACCGTCATCAGCAGGAGAATTGCGGAAGTTTACTCTCGAACCCGCCTCGCTGACAGCTTTAAGTTGTCGCTGGCGCAAGTTCAAAGTTCTTGGAACAATGACAGAATTGTTTAAGCCGGCAAAGAGCAAATATTTAATTAGCCCCGGCTCCCCGGGGGTAAGAGAGAGAGGCTTACTCCCTAAGCAGTTGAGCTCTGCGGAGGGGCAGGACACATGTCCTGCGGCCAAATACTTTGGGTAACCACAGCCAGTCGAGCGTGAGGCCGCGTCAGTTGGAATACACTTTATGTCCAAGGACTTTCGGGGGATTGTCAGCCGCCAACTAGGCGCTAACTTGGCGCCCATTCATAATACATGGCCAAACGCATAATTAAAGAGATTCGCCCGATACACATAAATCATGGAGCGCCTGAATGCGCAACTCTTTGAATGGACGCTGTTTTCTGTAATTAAAGAAAGAGTTTCACTGCAGAATGAGTCTAAATATTATTTATTCAGATATTTGTTAAATATTAAATCGAAATATTTAATTCACTTTGAAAATTGGTTTGTCAAGCCCCAAGACATTTATTTTAGATTCCTTTTAGATGCCTCTTTCTCTCAGTGAGGTTTTCCTACCCCTTTTTCCTGAAACATACCCCAGTAACCTGTATTTTGCGTGTATTTTCTCCAGTGCCAACCCCGCATTTAAATATACAGGTATGTTTCTTTCTTCCACGCCTTTGACTTTGATGCCGACGTGTTAATGTCTCAGTTACTGCGCCGTTCCTTAAATTCCCCGGTCCTTCAGATTTTTGAAGGCGGAGTCGGGGGGCGTTAATTAAAGCAACTGGCGAAAAACCCTTTGAAAAAGATTTCATTTCATTTCATGTATAGTGGGGCGCCTAAGCGACTTTTAATTGAGTTCCGTTTCCCGGCGTTGCTGAAGTTGCCATTTTATGCGAACAATTTGGTTAATTATAATGCTACAATTGCGTTGGCATTTTTTGTGGCGCCCTTGCCCCTCTTATCAGCCCGCTCCAGGTGCTGCCAAGTGTCCTTGTCGGCAGGATCCTCAAGGCGACAGCTGCACACGACGCATATGTTGACGGAAGTTCAAAAGTTGAGGGCGGGATGGGACTTGCCACACATCGAAGTGATTTCATTCAAGCGTTTGCCACACATTAAGCACAAGTTGTGCTGCGAGTTTGTTTGGATTGCTTTCTTCTTGTTTTTTTTTGTAAATTTCATTCCTTTAAAGTTTTATTTTCGCGTAAAGTTGGGCTTTTCAATTAGGCTAGAAGCGGAAGCGTGGCTACCGCAATCGCCACTTCCGGCGGATATATAGAACCATTACATCTGCACAAAAAAAAAAGTGAGCTAGCGAAGGAAAGAAAGAAATCTCTGCATATCAAATGAACAGAACGACAAACATTCTGTGCATATTTCGTGCACATTAAACATTTATTCCAATTTTATTTTTATTTTTTCGTTTTTCGGCTTGCATCTGGACAAACAGTGGAGTAGTTGGAGTGGAATATTTACGTTTGTATTCGCTGGTATAGTTTTTTTTATCAAGGACTTTGCTTTTGTCTGCTCTTAGCTGCGGGATAGTTTTGAAAGGTATTCTGAGGGAGTTTTGGAACTTGATAAAAATCAGCTGAAGTAAAAGAAATCCCTTGTCTTTTGACAGTTTAATAAGTAAAGTAGGGTATAAATTACTTTGTTTCATTCGAAAGACACTCCATAAATGGTTTTTATTTATTCAAAAATAAATACAACTTTTTTAGACCAGGTAATATATATTTAAAGGGTATCTGATAGTCTTTACAACCGTGAAAAACCAAGTCAGTCTTTCTAGTTTTTATCTGTACTTGCATGGCCGCTTCTCATGCAACATTCATGAGCGTTTTTGGAGCTCCTCTGCCAGTAGTTTCCATGAATTTTACGCTCGCCGAAATGTGTGCAACATTTTGAGCTTAATATTTCCAAGGGACTCTTGGCTAAAACGCTAAGTGCAGAAGCCATTTGGATGCTAAGTTCCCTGAAAGTTGACCTTTGAAGCGAAACTGGGGGAGGTGGAGAAAACCTTTTTCTCAACTTGGGTCAATTAACTCATTAAACTCTGCACTGTGTTTGCCTCGCTCGAGTCCAATTAGCCAACAATTAGGCCCGGCCATGGGCAGATTTTTCACGAGCAACCGAAATTTCTATCAATTATAAATGTAATTGAGGGAAATTAAAAGGTGAGAGGTGGCCCAAAAATTTACTTAGGCGACTCCAATTCGTTTTCAAAGTTTATTAATACGAAATCCTTGTTAAAGCCAGGCAACAGACCACCATTTTTCCTCTTGCTGTCGGCTCATAAAATGTGTGTTTTGATAGAAACTTTCTGGCCATGAAACTTTTCCACTCGGATTATCAAGCGAGATTTTTGAGAGCTCCTCGCCTCCGCGCTTTGTTGGTTCACCAAACTGTTGCATCCTTTCAGCCAAGTTCCGAGTACGAGTTGAACATGTGTTTGCTGTGTCAACTTTTTCGTTAAACTTTTTCCATATTTTTTTTTCAGAGCCAAACGAACGCTATCTCCGAAGCGGGGCCTACAAAGTTTACCCCGCTTTTTGTGCAATTCCCGGAAAATTATTGAACACACATAAGCTCTGGCATCATCAAAGAAGATAAATCCCAGAGAAATAATCCCAGTAACACAATGAATAAAATAAATCAAGGAATTACACCGAAGTAAATAGACTTTTATTTATTTAGATGCTCGGATTTGTGTGTTGTAAACAGATAGGAACACTGTCCACTTTGAGTTACATTCAACAGCTACTACGGTTAGAGGACACAGCGATTGGGGTTTGGGTTGGGTTTATATTTTCCTATGGGAATAAGGGCTCTCGGCGGCTTGGATGTGTGTTTATAATATACAGTAGACGACATCTAACAGTTTAAAACAATGGACCTAACTTAACGGAGGTTTACTGGCACCGCCTGGTACTTGGTTTCGTCTTTCACTCCTCCTAGAATAGTACTTGTACTAGCTAACTAATCGCACTCCCAGATCTGTGGAATTCAATGAAAGTTCAGTCTCTTAAGATGCAGTTGCCTGGCTAAAATTCGTCTACACGGAGTTCTCCTCGAGTCCTTGCTGCAATTTAAAAACAATTAGTCGTTGGAATGGCGGAGGACTGCCTCCTGGACTTACCCTCATCAGGGGACTAATGGCCCGGGGCATCACGCTCAAAGTGCTGCCGGAACTCATGGCATTGCCCCCCGCCAGAGTGGGCATCGTGTGCAGGGCATTGTTCGAACCCCGGTGGATGGACAGTGGAGCATGTTGACCCACCAGCGTGGTGGTGGTGGCCGAGCTCACGCACGACTCCCGCTTCCCGCGACCATAGTAACTGGTCAGGGGTCTGTAAAAAGGAGAAGGGGTCATCTAATCCGGTTACCTTGTGCTCATCTCGTCCTGGTTACTTACCGCATGCTCTCGGCTCGAGGGGAACCGCCGCCTTTCGTGAAACTTTTCGTCGTGTATCTGCCAGCAGGGATTACACGAGGAGAAATTGTAAGTCACAAGTGTTATCCTAAGCTTTAAAGTCTCACCTTCTGTTCTGGTTGAGCTGAATGGTGCGCGTGTCCCGCCACGTGGAGATATGGTGTCTCAGTGCATTTCTCACCTCCGAGTTGAGGAAACAGTAGAAAAGCGACACGGAGAAGCCCTAGGAGAGACGACACACACTCTGGCTTTAGCACAAAGAGCAGGCTACAAGGAGACACAAAACCCACCTGAGTGCTCAGTAGAACAGCTCGCAGAACCGCAAACATGTGACCCATTAGGCCAGATTCCGAGGGACCGGCTAATACCACCAGGTAGGTGATGCCAAAAAGAGGAATGAGCACCAGCAAGGCCTTGGCCGCTTTCCGATACTGACGCGTCTCCACGGTGTTGGCCGACCGAAGCTTTGTGATGAGAACCTGCAAGAAAGGAAACCCCATGACTCCCCCGAAAACTAGAGACTTCTTTGTGACCAGTCTTACGCACCCACATGATGCGCAGCAGGAAGGTGAGATTGATGATTAGCACCGCACAGACAGGCCCCTGGTATATCCAATCCACATGGGTCTCCTGCATCCAGGGACAGTTGATGTCATACTGTCAAAAAAGGCAAAGGTGAAACCAGAAAGTTGAGCTACTGCTGGTGACTCGAGGAGTAGGTAATCCCAGAAGGGACTCTCACCTTTTCGGGGGTGCTGTAGGTGACCGTCAGGCTCTTGGCCACCGCCCAGGTGACAATGAACACCGCAGGACCACCTGGCGATGGCGGGGGAGAGACTTAATTGGAGACCACGGGAGGCCTTTTGAACAGTTGGACTTACCCCAGCCTATGGAGGCGTAGATGTTGAAGCGCAGGTTGTCGCCTGAGAAGGTTTTTACCACCAGCATGTATAGGTATAGGCCCTCGACCAGCATCCAAAAAAAGTTTGTCAGCGTGAAGAAGTGGAACAAGGTGACCAAGGCAATGCAGCTGCCCAGGCCACTACGAATGGATATCTAAAGGAGAGGATTTTAAAGGATTCAATTAATACAAATGAATCTCTCTTTTAGATACGCTTTAAAATTTGTAGTACATTATATATAGGAAATGTTCATTATACATTTGTATCTTAATAATGAGCTGTGGCAGATGCTACTTGCATTTCTATTCTTAATCCCCCTTTGCTCAACGAGAATAATAATCCACTTTACCATTTCAAGTGGGTTTAGTAACTCAAGGGTGATTTAATAAGACTGCAATTGCAATTATCTGCCGAGGGAACAACCAACTCACCTGCACGGATAGCAAGAGTATCCAGAATAAAGCCGACATGATGTACGTGAAGAACAAATTGGCGTGAATGGTGTTGCGCAGGCAACGCAGTTCCCTGTGGGTAACAAAAGACGGCAAAGGGGCAACCGGGGGTTAAGCACAAATAAATGCCAACAAAGTAGAGGGGCCAAGGGGTTAACTCACTTGAAGTACGCAAAGACAATCAGCGCCAGCGACAGCGAGACCAGGCTGATGGTGTACCCTATGTAGTAGATGATGGTGGGCAGTTCCACGATGACCTCGAACTCCGGCACCGTTTCCGGGGCGGGCAGGTGGGCGCAGGCATCGTAGTTGGTGTACTTCTCCCACGTTCCATTGGCATGACAGAACCGCGTGGCATTTTCTGATGGAAGGTTAAACAAGTAAACAGGAAAATATATTATAAAATATATATGTACTATTTATAACTTATTTTATATAATTTTAATAGGTTATTATATAAAAATATTATTAGTTTGTGTAAAAATTATAGCTTTTAATAGATAATATTCATTATTTATAAAACTAATTACTGCTATTTCCATCACAGTGCAGAAATATAAAAATAGGTCAAAGGCTAACTTTCTAAATAAGGGGTTAAGTTAACTTCCACTCACTGCTGCTGTCATAGTGAATCCCCTGCAACTCGTCCATGCACTGGAGCACTGCCAGCGTTCCTCTTGCCGTTCTTGGCCAACATAGAATGGAGTCAAACTGGGTGAGGCAGTGGTCACTGGCATTGCCATAGGTGGAGGCTTCGATGTGCTCTTGTATCAGACACTTTAGCTCAACGCTTTCGCCAATGTCCTCCAGGTTATGGAGATCCAGGAGGGGATCGCTCCCGCTGGCATTCGCCGCATCGATGTGGTCGTGGTCACTCATCCTTAAACATCCTGCTTTTCAGTGTCTGTCGCTTAAAAGAGAGGGTTAAAAGTGTAGCATTGAGTGGCAAATAAAAGGTTGTTTTAAAATGTTTAATCTTCAAGGGGTTCTTTTTTATACCCTTCCAGGGCTTAATAATTTTAGTCAGAAGCTTAGAAAACAGTGAAGGAGTCATTTCCGACCTTATAAATCATATATATTCTTGATCAGCGTGAGCAGCCAAATCGATCTGACATGGTAGCAAGAAAAAAATTTTTTTGTTAATTTTTGAAAATTTTACAAGGGGTTACATCATCAAAATTGTCAAAAATTGGCAACATTTTCAAATTTTTTATATTTTAAATTTAGTTTGCAGATATGTTAGCCTATTAAAAACTAACATAAAAAAGCTATTCGAGTTGAATTTAAGGCATTTTTGACCCAGTTATGAAATTTTCAAACTTTGGTTTTCCCCGAAAAATGTACTGAATTTTAGAAAACTGTTTAAATTGGTAAAAATGTTAATTTTATTAAATTTTAAATTTATAACACAGATTTTTGAGCTTCTAAAGGTAATATAGAAAAGATTTCCGAAGCGAATTTAATGCTTTTTTGGGTTAGTTATGATATGATCCAGTATTTAAAAACCTTAAAAATATTTTATAAATAAATCTCTCTTAAAACTTAACTGTTTGGCAAAATAATATAAACTAAATAGTTCTCCACCATCTTCAGTTTATCGCTAAATTGACAGTATCTCCGTTTTGCCATCCTCCCTTTCCTTGACAGAGTTTGCTCAATCGAAAAGTTTGAATTCCCACAATTGTTAGGGGATTCCCCGGCGACTGGCAGAAGGAACCGAGGAAAAAGAGAGCCAGGCCAGCGGGCAAAGTTCAATTGGCCCGCAACCCTTCAACCCGCTTCCTTTCACCACAGCCTGTGGCTTCTGGCCTGTGTGTGTTAATTGCATTGGCCATGTTTCACCGACTCCGGGCCACGCCCACATCGTGGCTAGCTTTAAGGCCATAAATTCAGCAATGAGGGGTGGGTGTGGGCTCCATTTCCATTGCCAGTTCTAGGGAAAAATCAGCACAGCAGGGCGGCTAGATAAATAAATAAATAAATGCACAGGCCCAGTGCCATAAAAATTCATTAGTTTTGCCATCAAAGGCGAACGCACGAAGCGTCAGCAGATCAGAGGCATGTCCTGGCATTTTGGGGGCTGATATGCTCCGCCATAAAAGGCCGAGTCAAAGGGCCCGAGGAGGCCCAGACCTTGGTCTGAGGGTAATAGAAATTAGAAGCGCTAACTTCCTGGGCCAGACTTCGGTTCCGCCTCGGTTCGGTTTGGCCTTAAAGATGAAATCTCGCATTTATGCTCTGATAATAAATGGCATAAATGATGCATCGTTACATTAATGCAGGACATAAAACAGGGCGGGAAAGCCAACACACAATCCTGCGTAATAAGTATCTTCCACATACAGTGAGCTGCAAAAGTTGCCACATAGCAAAACTCCCTACTTAGCCTTGGTAAATTTTAAATAAACAGGAAACCACTTTGTTCCCAGGGGAAAACGGAAGGGATAACGAAAACCCACGTCAAAAGCAAAGAGCTAAATACTACTCTCTGTTATTTTTTTGCAATTTCGCCAGGCAACCCGAGCCAAGTCCATTAGTTTCTCTGGAATTTTCCGGGCGATTTTCTAATTTCCAGCCGCAATCCATGAAATATTAAACCCGCAGGCAAATTGAAAATTCCGCCCGAAGCCGCCTTGTGGCGCTCAGTGTTTCGTTCTCGGAAGAATTCCTCGGATGCCCGGCTCATTGTTGCTCCTTTCTGTGCCTTTTCTTTGCTTGTTTTTATGGCAACTGACTCGTAAATTAGCACAATGCATGTACATAAAACAAAAGGCAAGTTGATTATTACTGCACGGCGGCACATGGCTGCACGTCTTTGCCGGAGTTTTCCCCCAAGTCCTGGCAGCTGTTGGTTCATTAACTCGCAGCACACACATACGCCCCGTTGCCCCGCTTCGACACATCGCAAATGAGTTAAGAAACAGCCTCATTTGAGGTTGAAAATGTATGAAAATATATTTAAAAAAAAAGGGAGCAAACAAAAATGTGCGAGAGACCCACCCGACTCTAATTACCTCATAAATAATGTCGACCGAAATTAGCCAGCCTAAATTATGGCCATCGCTGCTAATTGCATATTCGATTTCAATTAGCAAAGGCAGAAAGACAGTGGCAAGAACCCCTGAAGGACACTTGCCAGATGGGTGTGCAAATGCAAATTCATTCTGACAGCTCGCATGGACAAATCTCATTGCCGGGGACAGGCCAGGCGAGTTGACGAATGTCCTGGTGGCCTGGCAAACAAACACATTCAGGCCGGGACGAATCAACGCTGGCATAAAAAGGGACATTACCACAAATATCCGCTGGCCAAGAAAACGGGCCTAGCTGGAGACGGACAAATCGCACACACACACACAGGACCTCCCAGCTCCTGCCTTTCACATGCTATTACGAAAGATTGTATCTAATCTCGTGCGATTGCACACAATGGATTTGCCAAAGGCGACACAAATGCGCAAAAAAAAAACGAGAGGGAGAATGGAGTGCTGAGAATTCTGGGGGGATTGCTTGTGGGTTAGTTGGGTCCTTTCCCGGCCATGTGAGAGTTTCTGCAATTTCCGGCTGCCATAATGCTTATAAATGTTTGTTCGCAATTGCCGGGGATTTCTTTAGAGGATTGAAAACATAACGAACGAATAGTGGGTAGCCCTCGCATTTAGCACTTCTCCCTTGCTCCACATTCCCGGAGCATGCACAGCAAAATTAAATTCCATACTTCCTCTTTTTTTCTTTTTCAAGCCATTGAAGCTCGTTGGTTTTTTATGCGTGTACCTTGGCAACTGCTCCATCATCGCTGTGGAGGACATCAGGGAAAAAGTGCTATTTTCGGTTCTCATTAATGTAGCTCATTAAATTTTATATGCATAAGCGGCAGCAGCCAGGGCAGCAGAAAAAAAGCGGACCATTTAAAATGTATAAGCATGCCGCCACACGGGACACCCAGCAGCATTACGTATACGCAACCTTGAACGCATGTAGCGTATAGAAAGTTTCTAATTAAATTGCTCGTTTGAGCATGGAAACAATGTATTGAAACGGGAATACAGCATGTAATTTGTTGGGGGAATTCGCATGCAGTAGGCCTCTCTCTCTCCGTTTGTCTTAATGCCTCCTCTTTGGACGCTTTACTTTTATTTCGGGGAATCTCCTCCTGGCACTGTGCCGTCTAGACAAGTCAACATCATAATTTGCAGGCACGCACTCCATTTCCATTTCCGTATCCGGCAGCATTTGAATTTGTGATCTCCAAACGATGGCCACTTGAAGTGCTTAAGTCAGCACATATCCTTTGCTGGACAAGGGAACGGACACGGTCACGGACACTCGAGCGATTGCCAACAAGTGTTGCGTTTTATTGTGTGGCCTTTAACGACTTTTCCTTCCCTTTCCGCTCCTTTCCCTTTCAGCTCATTGTGCGCGGCACGTGCAAGAGATGGAGGAGCTGCAGCCGAAGGAGCTACGTGAGGGATCTCCTCCTAGCCGGATCGAGTCCGCGCATAAATCCATGAAAAGGAGGTGGTGCCGGTGCTCGAAATCTGTTATTTATTGGCTCAATAAAAATTTGGTTTAATGCATTACAAGTTGCTGAAATGCCAGCGAGATTTGCGAGAGATTTACTCGCCTCCCAGCGGAAGTCCATAAAGCCCGTAATAATGGGAGGGCAACAAGTCCGGATCTGTCGGGTTCTTCCTGGTTATCGGATTGTTATTGGGTTTTATTTTGGAAATCTGGCCCGAATTTCTGCCCACTCTTCACTTTCTCCCCCAATCGATAATGCAAACACACAAAAGCAATCGACGAGGGCAGCCCTCTAAAAACCCATCAGCCGCAGGATTTACGCTATTGTAACCGAGAGTGCATTGTTTCATCAGGTGGATCTGAGTGTGTATGCAGGTTTGTATGCATTGCTATTTTAATTAACCACAATTTGCTATCCTTGCCATCCTGCTTACCCCTTCTCGCCCTAAAATAACATACCTTGTGCCTTAACTGGGCAAAGTTCCTGCTGCACTCCCTTTCTTATCCCTGGAGTCCTTGGGATTCCTTGTGTTTAGCACTGGCAGATTGCCTTCGTGAATGAAAGTCCTCAGCTGACCACAGTCCTTTGTCCTTTCGACCGGACTTAGATGCGTTTAACGCCTTCTAAGCTGCGAAATGATTATGTCTAAGCTGTTTTTGCTAGTTGCCTAGGTTATTGACACACACACCACGCACACTACACACACTCTATTGTGTTCACTTTTCCATATTCTTATTTTAATGCAGGATTATTTGTTATGGCGACACTTGAACACAAAACACTGGGAGGGCCCTTGGCCCTGGCAAAGTTTTCTTTTTGAAATTAATGGCGGACTTATAAGTGATTTATATTTTCTTCTTTTTTTTCTAATTACAAAATCAGATTTATATTACTCGAAACTTTTTGAATTGAATTTCCGAACTCCAGTGGCCAAAACGAACCGCACTCGTTGGCATCCCGCTGATAACTGAAGGCAGGCCCGAAGGATATGTCTTAACAAGGTTCGAGTTCTTACCAAAAGGCGCCAATTTTGGATTCCACATGGGAAAGCTCCGAAAGCTGCATTCCACAAGCTGTTGCCCGAGAGCTTTTGCGCCAGTCAACAGGTGGGATGTCCTGCGGGAAGGGAAACGGGAAAGGGAAAGGGAAAAGGGTTTTCCCTCCATTCGATTGCAATTCTAATGCCCGAAAATCTGCCTATTTGATTTATGCAAATATTTGACGGGATGCCCCCTGTGTTTGCCCAGCATTTCGCTGGCTGTTTGCGAGCTGTTTGCTTAGGAAATGCGGAAAAGGGATACACACGGCGGGATATGGGATATATGTAGATGCTTTTGGCAAGGACCTCCTTTGAAGTCGCAGCCTGATTTAATTGAGAGTTTGCGAGAGACACTGCTCTGAATCTCACCTGGTCTAATCAAATTAAACTCAAGTGTCTCGGCCGCCCCGGGTGACAGTTATTGAAATATCAATATGAGGATGGTTCCCGGAAATCTCCTCGAATTAAATTGTAGAGAAAACAAAGGCAACATTTTTATTTACGGCACTTCTTCTTTTTACTTGTCTGCTAAATTTTATATTAGAATGATAAACATTTGCATGGATGCTGGGGAGAACCCGTGGAATGCGTGTGACACATGAGGGTTGAAGGGTGGCGTGGCGCGTGGCTGGGTGTAAAAATGTAGGGCTGGCGCTCAGGGTGGCGACATCCTTATCCAAACTGTTTGATTTTCAAACAAATGCTAATGTCAACTGCCACTCTGAAGCATTTAAATTCCAATTTAAAAATGCTTTCTCTCCATGCCAAAAGCAAAGACATGTTCGGTGTCCTGTACGTATGTCTTCCCCCTCCTTCCCGCTGTCTCCTTTTCTGTGTGTAGCTCTTCTGCTCGGCTACTCCGCTTTCCATGCACACGCATTAAAGCGTTGTCCTGTCGCCTGCAAATTTAATGTCACACGCATTTCAATCTATCTTTTTTTATCCATTTTTTTGTCCTCACTTGAATGCCACCAGAAAGTTTTTCAATTTGTTTTCAGGCGAAAACCATTGAATGCACCTATTGTTTCGACATCTTTCAGAAGAATACACATTTTCAATTAACCAGATTTGCTTGGGGAAATGGAAAAACTAAAATCAATCAAACTGCTAAACTTTGATAAGTCGATTTGAAGTCATTAAAGCTCTAAGGAATTGCTTTAGTTTCAGTTAAATAATTTACTATGGCGGTGCTTAAGCTCCAGCAAAGTAAAAGCAACTCCGGTGAAATCGCTTTATGCCCCAAAAGCCATCAGCTTAGTGGTTGAGAGCATAAGGAGCAAATCACTGAGCAGAAGACACAATAAGCAGACAAAGGAGGCAAAGGAGAAGCTCTGACAAACACATGAACACTGAGAAAAAGGGGAGCATATATTTACTGGAGTTCTTCAGAAATTGTTATAGATTTTAAATGATTTATTTATTCCTTGAAATATTTATTTAGTAAAATGTACAGAACTAATATCAATATGTAGAGAATTTCTCGCACTTTAATAATTTCAAAAATGTATAGATTATTTTTAAAGAAGTCATGGCTTTAAAATACCTATTTTTTGGTTTTTAAGATTTTAAAAATATACATTTTTTAAATATTTAAAATGGTTATAATATCCTATAGAAGAACCTCCTTAAGGCTGGGTTTATCCACCGTTTTAATGACCTATTTTGTATCATTTTCTTACAGTGAACCCACGCATCAGTGGATTTGGGAGCCATGGCACTCAACAATTACTTAGCTGAGCGTCTTTAACACCTCCGGGCCAAAGGGGAGGGGCTGGTCTTTCAGCATTCTCATTAATTACACGCCAAACTAATTAAGCTGTAAGGAAATAGGAAAAGGATTAATCGCAGCAGCTGCACCTGCGTGTGCGTGAGTCACTCCGATGTTATCCCACTATATCCGTATTATTTGCGCCCAATTTGCGCCAGCTTCTGGTATTTCCCCAGTTCTTGTCACGCACGAGCTGCTGCTGATGCTGGCCAACGGCGAATCATCAGTCAGTCAACCTCTGTGCTCCCCAGCCTTCGGCAGACGCATTGAACCAACAAAACAATGGCAAACGACTCTATTTCATTACAGACCCATTAAAATGGGCCCGATTTTCGGCTATATAAAGCAACCGTCGGAGGGCTAGGAGAATTTTATTCTTTTTGCGGCACCACAGCGGAGATTAATCATTGTTTTTTTCGAAAAAATGCGCAAATCGATAATTAGTTTTTGTGTTGTGACTTTAGTGTTGGAATGTACGCAGGCGGCCTTCAACTGCTCAGCTCCGCCGAACTTTAATAATTTTGTGAGTGGAAATTAAAGTGGAGGATAAGCATTCCTTTAAACCAAAGTCATACTTGCAGGACATCAACACCTGCTGTCGAACTCCAGAGCTGGATATGGGAGATGTGCCTCAGAAGTGCGACAAGTATGTGAGTGGCTTGAAGTCGGCTAATTCCAAGTATCCCAGTTATGCTCATCTGGTGAGTGGTCTTGTGTACGTAAAGGATACATTTCTTGAGAGATTATCTACATATTCCAGTGCTATCCCGATTGTATTTATCGGGAAACAGGAGCTATGGTCAATGGCAAAATCAATATGAGCAGGGTTAAGCAGTATTTGGAGCAACATGTCCATAGGCGGGATCAGGATATAGTGACCCATATAGTTCACTCCTTTGAGGCCTGCCTGGGCAACGGTGCGTATGATTGATATAACTTAAGCTGACAGTAATAATTACCTAATTTCAGTTAAGAGCCACATGAAGTCCTCAAACATCGAGTCCTACAAGGTCCTTCCGCATGGCTGTTCACCTTTTGCTGGCATTATCTATAGCTGTGTGAATGCCGAGACCTTCCTCAAGTGTCCCCCGAAAATGTGGAAGAACGAGCGTCCCTGCAATCTGGCCAAGGAATTCGCCGAGCAATGCAACCCCTTGCCGCATGTCCCGCTACCCAGCAGCTGATGCTCCAGTTTGATAACTTAATATAGTGTGTAAACAAAGATTTAAAGTAAAAGTTTTAACCATTTAGTTTAATCTCTTGGTCGCTGTTTCAAAACCATTAATATTCGACCTCGGCTCGCTGACGATTAGCCAGCAAATTGACCATGACAAATGGGTAGGTTCTCATTGGTACCGTCATTGTGCCTTAGGATTAGTCAAAGTTCGCTGTTCAATTGGGCAACAGTTCCCTATTAAGTTGCCACTATGAATCAGTTAATCTTTGTTGGCTGTCTCTTGCTCTGCTCCGTGGTACAGGCAGCCTTCCAGGACTTTGTGATAGGACCAGAGGTAACTATGTCTTGGAAATGGGTAAATTTGTAAGCCAAAATCTCTTTTCGTAGTCCTATTTGGGGGATATAGAACCGCCCGTTGAAGAGGATCAGCTTATGGACGAGGACGATGCAGAGCAAGATGTGATGGTGTCCTTTCAAGACGTACAAAGGCATGGCGTGGTGGATACCAACCTATTGTTGAAGGCTCTTATGCAGCATGCCAATCGTTTGGGCATGAGTTTGGATGAGCTAGGTGAGCTAAGTTCAAAAAAGATTCATAGAGATCATGACCTTAATCTCCTATTTATAAAGCTGCCATGAATATGGGAGGAGACGATGAGGTGTATGCTAACCAACTGGGCTGCTCGCCGGACCAAGATGAATTCAACTACCAGGAGAGACCCACCTGGCGGGATGTGCTTTTCAACTAATTCCTCAATAAATCTCATCACACAGAGTGATCAAAGCAGCTGGACATATGTTATTTATTTTATTCCAAAACCCAACAAAAGCTAACCGGTTAGCTGGTCCTCGCAGCGAATGCTGTACTCCCTGGCCTCGTTGCAGCCCGGACTCTTGCTCCACACGCTGTCCGGACAGTATCGATAGAAGTGCCTATGGGCGCACAATCCGTACATCAGAGCCATGGAGGCACACTTCCCAGTGACGGGCATGCGGCGACGCCTGAGGGTCTTGATCATGAGCTGCTCCTGGGCGGAGCAGTTCCTGAAGCCCTCCACGTAGACCTGCACAAACTCATCGGTGGCCAGAATGGTTTTCATCATCTTTTCGATGTTGGGCATTAGCAAACTGGTGCCATTCAGAGCCTTTGCAGCCTGGAAAATGCACTCGAAGCTGCACTGTAAATATACATTCTGGATAAGTATAATCTTTGAGGTCATAATAACTAACTTACAGGTGTAATGTGTGCTCCATTGACCAAATACTGACCGCACTGGGAGTTGTAGCTGGAAAAGTCCAGATTAGGCAGCTTGCAGCAGTTTTTTAAAGCCTTTCAATCGAGGTTAATCTCTGTGTTTCTTTAATACTAATATTACTCACAGTTACTTCCGGCCTTTGGGCACAACTGTCATCCACAGCCGAAAGAGCTGGCACAGAAAGCAGAAGCCAAGTTAGCAGGTGAAGCATTGCGGGAACCTTCTGCTAGCCGTACAGTCACGCACATCCCATATATATACACAGCTCCAGCCGGAAGCCTCAATGACTTTTGGCTTGGCCCATTTAACCCGCACATCCCATGATGAAAATGGAATGCTCATTTTAAGTTTTATTACTGCAAATTGCAGGGATCACAGGTTTCGAATAGCAGCACGAGCACCACGTGATTGCCGCGCACTCGGGCAATTGAGGTTCTCCAATCGGGCCATCTCACATGACTCTGAGCCGGACCAACTGGACGATGGGCAGTTGTTGAAGACATACTTCTGGGTGCATATTCCGTAAAAAACAGCCACCGGTGAGCAGTAATCTGTTCCGCCGGAATGACGGGGTCTTCGATGCTTCATCATATCCTGCACGGTATCCGAACAGTTCATCATCCCATCTAGATAGGCCTCCACAAAGTCCTGGTTGTTGCCCAGCAGTGTCTCCAACATGGCACGCGTATTAGCGGAGTCTGGTAAAGAGTCCTTAAGGATATTGGTTGCATTGAAGATGCATTCATAAAGGCACTAAAAAAAAGGAAAAGGGAATGTTTCACAAAGTGTTTCTTTTAGGGGTTTAAGAAGTACCCACCGGTGATACTTTGGGAGATCCAGTTGGCATATATCTACCACATTGTTTTCTAAACTGCTCGAATCTTAATGTGGGATAAGAACAGCATCCTCTTACAGTCTGGATTAGCAAGAAAGAAAAATATTTATAAAATTTTGCTTAACCTCGGGGGGTTCTCTGAATAACTCACTTGAAAATCCTGACGGTGAGTGCAGTCCACATCCAGTGGTTTGGTGGCCACTGTGGCCACCAAAGAGCAGATCAGCAGAGCTTTGTTCCACGCCATTATTACAGTCAGTCTGAGCCTAGGCTGTGCCTAACCGCTTAATTTATAACTCTCGTTTCGAGGGGCGATCCACTAATTAATCGAGCAGATCGAACAGTTTAAGCGGCGGTCGCGTGAGTCAAATTGAGCAGTCATCGTGATCGGCTGGCGGTTTTTGGATTTCAGGGCGGCCAAAGTCCAACGATTCGTTCGATTGGGGGCTCGTCCAGAGCCAGACAGATGCAATTAAGCTGTCTGAATTGGATCAGCTTAAATGCAATCACTCCAACGATTAGGATCTCCAAAACCACGACACTAAAATGGAGCTAATCCCGAGCTGGGGACGCGATTTGATGATGATGATGACATGACACCCACTTATATGAAATTAATCAACCACCAAAGTGGTAAACAACCAGTTCGATAATACCAAGGACAGCAAACTGGAAAGCATAAATAAATATCCTCCCAACGGCATGCGTTTACTTGTTCCATTGCTCTTGTAGTTAATCCGGCGGTGGATTGCATTTTCTCCATCCACGAACACATGTGAGTGTAACAATTCACCTAGGCATTCCGGTATTATATGGTCAAGATCATCGCATGTCTTCGCTTTCCTCCAGAATTCCGTGGGACAGTTGTAGGCCACATGCGCCATGATGCACTGCGTATGGAGCATGGCGTCGGGCCGGCACTCGATGTCCAAGCCCAACTCTGTCTGCGTCTCGTTGGCATAACGCATCACAAAGTCGGTGTACTTGTTGCCCAATTCCTCACAATCTTCGTTGGCTTCCTTGAAGGCAGTACCATACCGGTGGAAGCCATTCAGCGGATTGTATAGGTTGGTGATCATAGTGTAGAGCTCCGGCTTCTTAATCTTGTTATTCTCATCGAAGAGCTTCCAGTGGTTGTACAGGCACTCGTAGCGACACTGAGAAAGACCCTCGGCTCAGTACTTAAAGCCCCTCAGCTTGGAGATACTTACAGCCCCAAAGTTATTCCAATAATCCGTGCAATTGGAGCCGACAAACAGAAACTTGTCCACCAAGGACACTCCGCAGCAGTAGGTAAGCCTCTCTAGGTCCAACATCTTTCGGCACTCCTTGTCTGGCATTGTGGTTGTGGTTGTGTTTTCACAAACGATCGAGGGAAGCCATAGAAGAGCCACAAATGACAGCCCAATTAAATACATTGGAAGTCTGCCTTTTTAAGACCGAGTATGAAAAATATATTTTGAATTATACAGAATTTTGTATTTTTGTTTGCCAAATGAAGTAAACTACTAAGCATATTATTCCCAGAGGCTTTAGTGGGTTAAGGTGTAATGTATTGGGTATCTAGCATGTCATCTCTCTGCTGGCCACATGCAAGCATACGAGTTTGAGTTGATTCATTTGCCTTTGGAAGCTTTAGCCATGCAGACGTGGCGTATACTCGTTATGCTTATTTTTCTGGAATTTGTGGTTCCCTACGAGGCAGCCAAGTGCAAGGCAGCTCCCAAATCTGTGCAGGTAATTCTATTATATCAATCCTGAAATCTATTTAAAATCTATTACAAATCCTCCCCAGAATGTACACATTTGCTGTTCTGCGCCCATGCCCAATTGGGGAGTCTACAATCGTGACTGTCATAATGCAGGCAGCCAAGCGAGCGTAGGTATTTAAAGTTATTTAATTCTAGGCCAATTAAACCCTCTCTAAATCTCATTTTTAGTGCCGCCTGGCCTGCATTTTTAATGCCAGCTCAGCTCTGCAGGGAACTCGCCTTGTCCAGAGCCAAGTTCGACCCATGCTGGAGCGTGCCTTTGCTAGCGAAGCCACTATCGAGGTCTACGAGTCCAACTTTGCCCGCTGCTCTTCGTTGGTCAGAAGCAAATACCAGGAGTTGGCCCCTTTAAGTCGTCAGAGTGATGCCTGTGACAGACACGCCCTCTTCTACAGCCTCTGCGCCTACGCCCGTCTGATATTCACCTGTCCGGAGAAGATGTGGCAGCGAAACAACAAGATGTGCCAGGAGGCCAAGACTTATGCTAGAACTTGCTCCTGGCCAGCACTAAAAATGTTTATGAAAAACACTTAGCAAATTCGAGGCATTTTATAAATATTATAAATGAAAGATGAAGTGATGTACAAAACCTACTTTAAAGATAATGTTGAATTCTGTACTATTTAAATTTTCTTTTATTAATCGGACGCCTAGTTATCAAATCGAGAACACTATACTGACATTTTTGATGGTAAGCTCTGCAGTTTCCCTTACCACCCTCCGCTTCGGCAATATAGTAACGCTTGGGTAAAGCCTCATATCGAGAGCTACTGGGACTGAACATTACATGAACCATACTGCCCAAGACTCCATTGATATCCGCCAGTTGATAGCTATTCGCCTCGCAAATCAGTCTTAACAAACAACTGTCGCCAGATCCCAAGCCGTGTCTGTATAAAAAGTATCTCCACTGATTAGAATATTAATTTAAATGAATAGCTCTTTACTCACAGTTCGAAGCGATCGCTGAGTATCTCGTAGAACCTGGAACGCGAAAGTAAAGACCTCTTTTCACGATCTCTGCCCACGGGTTCACCCATGCCATCTAAGGGAAATCCCTGAAAAAAGTCCTTGTAGTCTGAATCATCCTCCTCCTCCTCTGGCGGTGGCTTAGGTTTTGGTTTGTGCTTATGTTTGTGCTTGCGCTTGGGCTTAGTTTTCAATGGCTTCGTTGCAGCGCCAGGTTTGGGTTTGGTCTTCTTCCTTTTCTTGTTGCGATGGGGCCTGTGTTTGTGACCAGGAAGGTAGCCTTCATGTTCATCGTAGACGTCATCGTAAACGAAGTCATCAAACTGTTGATGGTCATGATTGCTCATTTCATCATAAGTGCCATTGCCATTTCTCTGGTAGAAAATATGTGATTAGCAGAGATTTTTTATTATTTTATTGTATAGAAAAATTCTTACCAAAAATGGTGGCTTTCTTTTCCAAGTCTTGGGCAGTTGGTAGGATACTTCAAAGTTGTAAGACAGAAAGCACTTCTCTTTGGCCAAGTCCAAAGGCAAGGCAAGGGCCACAAATAGCTAATGAAAAACATCAATAAGAAAACTTAAAAACATCAGTGTTTGAAATACTCACCGAAGATGCTCCTCCTGTATTCCAAACAAACTTCGCCTGAAGATTCTGGAACAAAGCAAAACCCAAAAGGATTTGGAGGTTTATAGAACCATCCATTGCATCGAACTTCTCTAATTCAACTGAGCAGCTAGATTTTGAAGAGGCAAAGTGAAAACCTTTTCTCTGCTACCCCAGGGAGTGATGATCCAATTAAGAATCTCTAGTTTCTAGCAGCGAAAGTTGCTAATTGATGAGCCAGTTAGAGGAATAAGGCCAAACGGTGGGTTCTTCTGTAGCAAAAGTTTTATATATTTTCGATCTATATTTTATTGCGTTCTATGTGCTTGAAGATCTCTTCAAATGGCTCCGATATAAGCTCCAACAGACTCTCACCACAACCTGGCTCGTAGTAGTGACAGTGGTCGTTATGGCCATCAAGTTCGGCTTGGTAATAACGCAAGGGAAGATCCTCAGACTCAGATGTGCTGGGACTGTAAAGGAGGTTAATGCATTATATGGAAGATATCTTTTTGGAAGCTGTCTTAATTTTACCTAAATAGAACATGTATTAAGCTGCCCAAAACGCCATTGAACTCATCTAGTTGGGCCGCATTGGACTCACAAATTAGGCGCAGTAGGCAAGACTCCCCTTGGAAACCACTCCTAGAAATTAGTTTAATTTATTATTTTAAAGATATATCTAGCAAATGGCAACCCACCTCTTTAGCTTATCTATAAATATGCGATAGATATTAGTGCGTGTAAGCAAAGATCGAACTTTACGCTCTTTAATGGGCACTTCTGTAGTCTCCACTTCCTCTTGGTACTCCTCCCCAGCCTCGATCTCTTCGGAAGTGCAATTCTGGCAGTCGGCTGACAATTTACGAGCTGAATCTGCCTCCGCATCCGTCTCTGTGTCATCTGCTACCACTTCCTCCGACTCAATGGGCCCATTTTGCTACAAAAAGAATCATGAGTAAATAACCAAATAATACTCCCATTCTCAACTGTATCTATTTGCTATTCGGCCGGCCTGTTAATTGTGCCATAAAAAGCGTGTTAATTGTCAACAAATGCGGCGTTTTATAGCCGAAAATGAAACTTACAAATATTGTCCATTTCTCCCAGTTTGTGGGCAAGTTGTAGTTGGCCTCAAAATTGTACGAAACAAACACATTTCGGTGGGGCAACTCAAGGGGAACGGCAATGGCGGCAAAGATCTAAGGTTAAGAAGGTACAGGAAGGTTTTTGGAATATAATAAAATATATTTCCAGAACTCACTCCATGGGTACTAGAAGCTGTAAAGGCCACAAAGGGGTTAACCGAATTCAGGAAAAGAGTTAATAGGAAAAGGCAAAGAAAGTAACCCACTAAATTCATTTTCTTTAAACTAAAAAGCACAATATATCTCCACGATGTTCAGCCGGCAACTGACTGGCAATTGAAGCTGAGTACTCGCAGCAAGTGCGTGGCTTTAGGAAAGCGAGTGATTGCTAATTGAATAAGTAAACCCCCCAGAAAGAAGCTGTTTCTTTGGTACTCCAGTTTTATTTTCTTCGCCGGCGACTTGCTATATCACTGAGCGCCTGTTCCAGTGGCACAGAAATCAGATCCAAGACGTTTTCTTCACAGTCTTTGGTATAGGCCGAGCAGTCCCTGTGCTCTCTTCCCTCAAATTCAGCCTGGTAATACTCATGCGGCAGGTGCTCATCCTTAGAGCTGCTGGGGCTGTTAAGATATAATTGTTTAGAAATGTTTATAAGTTTCTTATTATATTTAGAAACTCACCTGAATATAATGTGAACTAGGCTGCCCAAAAAACCATTAACATCACCCAGCTGGGAGGCATTTGTGTCGCATATCAGGCGCAGCAAACAGGCTTCGGCGGAAAAACCAGATCTGTAAGGGGATATATATCTTAAAAATTCTATATAACATATTAGGGACTAGCCAACCCACCTCCTTAACTTGTCCCGCAGCATGGCATAAAAAACTGAGCGACTCATCAGGGTCAAGCCACGCTTTTCACGCGATGCTGCCGCTTCAGAGGCATTCGCTGAGGTTGTAATATTCCCCTCCAATTTCCAATCTGTGCAATTCTGGCAATGCCTGCCCTGGGAATCACGTCCCGTGGTGGGATATGTGAGATAGCCATCCTGAAAGTCCTGGCCCATCTGAGAATTAGAGGAAAATAAATAATCCCTCTCTCAAACAAAAGACTCAAGACACGAATTCCGTGCAGCAAGACTCACCAAGATTGGCGGATATTTGTACACATGCTCCGGTTGATAGTAATTAAACTCGTAATTGTACGAAAGGAACACATTCCGATGCGTCAGGCCAATGGGCACCGAGATGGCCATGAAGATCTAGAAAACCAAAAGCAATTTAACAAAACACAGCACTTCATTGCTTGAATATTTAGAGTACCCCGAACTCGGAGTTGGTGGTATAATACAGAGAAGAACCACCCAACTTCCAGTTTATTATGATGGCACAAAGACAAAGCCAAGGGCTAAGGTTAAGTGTTCTGTACATATCCAATAGTAACTTATATTCGATGCTCGATGAACAGCGTTTGAAAACCAACTGGCGGAGCTCTCCGGCCAAAAGTCGACAAGAAAGGTGCGTGTCCACGAAGCTGTTAATTAAAACCAAGAATTGGAATCTGGGTCGTCCCGAAATTGGTTTAATGCAGTTCAAACTGTAAGCGCCTGATCGATCATCTATTTTATTGTCTTCTGCCATTTCGTCTGTCTATAGCTTCCAGCAAAACATCGTATAACGGCCTTGAGATCAGGTCCAAGACATTCTCCTCGCATTGGCTGGCGTACGACGAGCAGTCTCCATGCCGATGCCCATCCCACTCGGCCTGGTAGTAGTCGCTGGCCAGGTTCTCGTCATTCGAGCTGCTGGGTCTGCAAGAGGGAAGCCCTGTTAGATAGCTAAAAATATCTTCCGCTTTTATTAGTTAGCGCCTCTTGAGGTGTCTGAGCTTTCGTGATTTCATTAGCAGCCTGTGAAGAAAAGCTGTTGCCACCTACGTGAATAAGATATGCACTATGCTGCCCAGAAGTCCATTGATTTGGCCAAGGGTCGAGGCATTCGTTTCACAAATCAAGCGGAGAAGACAGGGCTCTCCAGGATAGCCGGTTCTAAAAGGGATTAGCTTTAACCATTTAAAATAGAAATATAAACCCTTACCTCTCCAATTTATCCTTAAGCATGATATAGAAATTAGTGCGACTCATGGCTGGTAAAGAGCGGCTAGGACGCAGTTTCCTTGAGCTAGAATAACCACCCAAGGCATCCACACCTCCTGTAGTGTTGTAGGTCAAGTAACCATCCTCCCAGTTGTCACCCATCTTAAGCAATCGGAATTTTTAATTTAAAATTTAATTATTTTCCCCTAAAAACTTACCAAAATAGGAGGATACTTGTAAATGTGCTCCGGCTGATAGTAATTAAATTCATAATTGTACGAAAGAAAGACATTGCGATTCTTCAGGCTAAGAGGCACGGATATGGCCATGAATATCTGCATTAAAGGATATCGGTAAGTTTTAAAATTAATAAAAACTATTCACATATTTACACCAAATTCAGAGTTAGTGTTATATATCAAAGTGGAGTCCACAAGGGGCCACTTTAGCATAGCCAGGAGAAGGACTAACTTAAGATCCATAGTTTACAAGAATTTCAAACCAACTGAAGCGCCCTGCGCCCAAGATTACATATTTTATAGAATTTCCAGCAGTGTTAATTTAAAGGCACGAGCTGGCTAACCGCAGTTGGCGAGATGCTCCCAAAATAACCGCAGCCGTGACTCCCCAGAAATAGACTTGGAAACAGAAAGCCGGTATCTACGAATTTGCAAATATTGTTTTATTCCAATGCGTTCCGCATATGCTTAGAACTTAGCCCTAATCTATAATTATGGTTCTTGAGGTGAGTGGCAGACGTTCGAGGTCGCCTCCGTTTGGCGTTTGCTACCTGGCCTTGCGCAGCTTTCGCTCCTTCCAAGTGACGAACTTGGCGTTGGCGGTGCGCAGCAGCTGGTTCATGTGCTGGGTCAGCGAGGAGCGCAGCGGCGAGAGCTCGTGCATGGCGCGATTCTGGAAGGGTAATAATAATAATAATAATTTAGTAAATAAATTCAACGGATTGTTCATTGTTCAACCTACTTCAAAGGGCACAAGTTTGGCCATTTTAAAGCGCTGCAGGGTCTCGTGCATGCGCTGCAACTTCGCCTCCAGCTCATCAGTAGTAGGTGGAAAGCAGCTCCAGAAGTGCTTCAGCAGTTCCGAAAGCGACAGATACAGATGGCGCAGCTCACGCTGGAAGTCACGGGGCACCAGCTCTGAAAGATAAAAGTGTGTGTTAATGTGACTCACAAACTGGAAAATGTAAAGAATCTTACGTCCTGCAGACTGCTCCTGGAAGCCACGCATCATTGAACCGCCAGGACTCAGCTCACCCAGCGCATTTACCGCCGCCTTGGAACAGATAATCGTCCGTTGTACGTTGCGATTGAGCCAGTTTTCCGAGTTGCGCACCAGCTTGTACTGCACCTCCTCTAGGCTCTGCGAGTCGTGGTGGTTATCGTATATACTGTTCTGGGTGGGACCATTGAGGTAGCGCTCCACCCTGGACAGCTCGAATTGTTTGGAACTGTGGGCCTTGTCTCCGTCGGCGCCCTCGTCATCCATTTCCATGACGGGATCACCGAGATCCTCGTAGTGAATCTTGTCGATCAGTCGTTGCTTTTTGATCTGCGGCTCGTCCGTGTCCACGTGATCGTTGGAACGCTTGGCGGCGTTAGCCGCTTCCATTGCCGTGGCCTTTCCATTGAGACCGTTCGTGTAGGCAGAGTGGGAAACCGGCCCATTGGCACTGTTTGTGCCATTGGTCACTGCGGGAGGGGCATTCACATTGGCACAGGTCTTGAGCACCATGATGGAATGCTGGTTGAACCGCTTGATCATGTTCTGGTGCACAATGTTGCCGCTGTTTACGACATTGCGGTCACCGGCCACGCTGCCGAAGCCCTCCTCCAAAGGAACATCCTCGAATTTCTTGAGGTCCAGCAGGGGATCGCCAGCCCCTTGCTGCACAGCCGCCTTCAAGGCCTGATCATCGATCTTGCCGCACTCCGTGAATATATCCTTTGTGCCAGCGGTGAGACGATCGCGGTGGAAGTAGTGCGACTGGAAAAACTTGGTCCAAAACTCTGACTCGGGCATCTTGGCGGGCACATTCTCCATGTGCTTGCGCTTGACGGCGGGATAGGTCTTGAAAATGCAGTGAATCACGTCGGCGGTGAGGTTGTACTTGAGGCCATTGCAGCCATCCGTTTGCGGCTTGATATCGGCCAGAAAGGCGCCAGAAACACCTGCAATCAAGCACAGAAAAGTGAGAAAAGAAAAAGATAGAGTTGATGCTAGACAGACCGATCTCCTGGGTCTTGCCCATCTTCTTCAGGGCATGCTCCTTGGCGTGCGTGGCCCAGAACTCGTCGCTGGTCAGCACTTTGGTGATCACAAGGTCCTTGTACATCTGCAACAGGTTGGGGTTCTCAACGAGTATACGGTTCTTGTCCTCCAGGTCCTTGTCCACCTTGCGCTTGAAGTTGGGCAGCAGCTGCTGCAGCAGCTCCTTGACCTTGTCGCGGTCGGCAAGCATAGCTGGCTGTCCCTGGCGGTTCACGAAGTGGAAGGTTGAAGTGTTACCGTCGTGCAGCACCACTTGAAGCTGCACCTTCGGCTTGCCCTCCGGCGAGATCTTTTGGGCTGTGCAGGAAAAGGAAGGTTACTTTAGCTGATTGGTGCGAGGACAGGGCAACACCCACTCTTGATGTCTGCATAACGGTGGGAGACCGTCACCGTGTCCCGATGCTCTGCCATCCAGGCCAGCCGTTCGTTCATCACGTAGAGGGTGCCGTCGCCCTTCTTGTACCGCACCTCGCCCATCTGGAGCAGCACATCCTCGCTGCTGGTGGTCATCGTGTGTCCTCCTCAGCTCAGCGGCGCTCAGCAGTCCCCGTTTCTGCAGTACCAGTAGCAATTCCACGGTCGCCGTCAGATCGCATTAGAGCCCCGCAAAAGCAAGAACCTGAGACGCCAGCAGTGGCCTGACACCTGAAAGAACGGAAGAGGCGGTCGTTGTAGCATCTTCGGTGGCGGAAAATGCGCTCTATGCGATGGAATTGACCCTGCCGGCGGAAATTCCGCGTCCAGCGGGCGCAAAAACGCACAATTCCACGATATTTCCACGATTTACTGAAAATGCATCACACCTCACCGCAGAATAGAGCCAGTGTGACAGCACAGCGATATGGAAATCTTACGTCGTCACGGTTATTTTTCCCTGCACTGCGCTGGTCACACTATGAAGGAATAACGAACTTATTTATTTGCCTTGAAAGGATTAAAACCGTAAGCGATTGACGAGATACCTGTAAATCGTTAATCTATTTTTAATTTTACTCATTCAGTGGTATAAAGAATTCCCAAAAAGCTTTTTACCTAAAGTAATATGTAAGGAAATCCGCCTGTTGCTTGAGGCAAACAGTGTGACCAAACCTGATGTTACTACTCATTTGGAACATAAAATACCGAATTTGTTTTAGATACTATATCCGGTAGAAATTTGGCGCCACCGAAAGCTTAATTTGAAATGCAATATGATTACATATTATACAAATAAATGCGTTTTACTGGTGTAAAAACATTTCAAAGTGGCTGTAATATACATATGTATGTGCAAAAGGTCTGTTTTCGCCTGCTTAAGCTTCGATTTTTATTTATTTAAAGGCAAGGAAACTTTATTTTCTCTTTTCTAGGAATGACTAAGAACCAAACGTTTATTATATCAACAAAACGAATTCGCTGATGAAAACTAATAAAGCTAAGAGCAATCTCAATTACCCTAATGAAAAACTGAAGAGGGGCTTTTGTTTATCTTTCAAGAAACTGAATTATTATGAGAGGGTCGCTCCATCGATTTCACTCCAAATCACCTAACTTTAAATTGAATAGGAATTATTATGAATAAAAAGTGGACTTTTCTACTCAAAATATTTCTATCATTTTAATATTGTATTTACAGCTAAACTATTTAATTCTAATTTCAGTGCTTGGTCCGCTCCAGTGTCCGTCCGCGATCGAGCAGCTCCCGGAAAGTCTTAATTTCGTGCCGCGGAATGCTCTCCCGGTACTTGGGCAGCATCAGGCCGTATATGAAGTCCAACTCCGTTTCCTCGTCGTGCCTTCCCTCCGGCAGCTTGGCCAGCAGGGCTCGTTGCTTGCAGACGAAGGTATCTATCGCCTCGGCGCTTCCCTGCTTCATCTCAAATATCTCCATGTACAGCTGATAGGAGGGCTTGGTGGGTGAAAAGTGGTCGCGGAGCAGCTGAAGAGCTTCCGGCCAGGTCTTGGCATCTCGCCTCACACCCTTCCACCAGATCACGGCGATGTTGTTGAACAGCAGGGGAAGGCCTTTCAGAGCATCCTTGTCGCTGATACCCTCTACCTCCTTGTAGGTCTCCACCGCGTTGATGAACTCGTCCACGGCATCGTGATCCCGCTGGCCACTGAATCGCACCGGGCAATTGCTGAAGCTCCCCTTGGAGAGCGGCTCCTCGTCTTTGATCGGTGCCAACGCTTTGATGGTTTCGATGAGTACGCGAAACTGTTCGTCGGACATCTGCGTCATTTTGTTTGGGTTTCTTCTTGTGTCTTGGTTCCCAGAAAAGTAAACAAAAGGCGGATGTGAGACCCACAACAAACCGAAACCCAATCTGTCGACAGAAGGGGAGCAACTGTGGCGACAAATTTTGCTCGTTCAGCGTTTTCGCTGCTTTATGAAATTAAACGCAAAAACCGTTCTCTCTTTTTGCCTGAAAGCTTTTTCGAATTTCGAAAAATAGCCCACGCTCTCTGAGAGGTTTTAATAAATTGTGTGAGCATGTTTTTGGACTGCTCCCGCCTCGCCTCTTTTGGGGGTTCACCCTTCTATCTTTATTTGGAATTTACACGAATTTTACCATCAGATATAGTGCCCTGATAACAGGTGGCATTCAAAATAAATGTATAATTATAAGCTAGATGGAAAATGTCATTGCTATAATTGATTGAATTAACCGAAATGATTTCTTTTAGGTTCAAACTGAGGTTTAATAGTTTGCTTCTTTTCCCTAAAAACTTGTTCATTAGGTCATCATTTTCATGACGTCATATTGTGAAAAAAATAAAAATAAACAAATTTACTTGGAACCAGCTATATGCTATATAAAAACATTTACTAAATTCTTGAAATTTCTGGGAATCAATAAGCTAAAGTTGATATTTTTCTATATTTATAAAATTAATCATATTAATGTTATGAGTAAAATAAAACATTGCTCTATCGATTTTTGTTCATAATTTTCCAATGAATAATAAGTTTTTATTATTACTTCTTTTAGAAAAAATATGTAAATAATGCTTTAACTTCTTTATTTTCATATAAAACATATTTCAACTTTCCCGGTTTACTTTATTCTTGATGAAAATAAAAATTTCTGAAAATTATAAGATATATCTAAATAAAAGAATAAGTGGTACTAATATTGATTGGCTTATAATTTAATCGCATGTTGAAATTAGCTATTACTCAGCCTGGTGGCAATTCAATTTCGCATGACATTGTAATTGCTCTAAAATTGAAAAGAACTACAGCCTGAAACTGCAATTGCTTGACAACAAACACCTAAATAATAATTTCCTTCTTTAAAAAATCGATGGAAACAACTTCTTTATCAGTATATGTTTATCAGTATTTGTTTATCAGTTTTTTTTGGCTATGTACCGGCTTTTGAAGAGTTATTATTATATTGCCAGCGATGATTCACAGCCGGAAAAACAACAACAAGCACAGGGAACGCACTCTCTTTGGCTGTGCCTCCCCAATCTGACGCTCCCCGCTCTTCATTAGCTTTTTCGAACTTCGATTTCACAACGACCGGGTATAAAAGGCCCACCATTCAGGAGAGCTCCTCAGTTCACTACAACCGGCCGCATTCGCTTCACAGGCTTTGCCCGCCGAAGACTGCAACTCAGCAAACCCAGAACAAACAACGTGTTACCCGCCAACTAAATCCACTCCAACCTCAAACGCACACACACACACACACAGCCATGGCCCAGACTATTCAGATGACCAACGAGCAGCTCCGCGAGCTGATCGAGGCTGTGCGGGCATCTGCCGTAAGCGCTGCCGGAACCGCAGCAGCCGCCGCCGGAGGAGCCGATGGCCCCAACTCGAAGACCAAGGGCAGCTTCTCGGCGTGCACACACCGCTTCGGCGGCACCCGCAGCTACGACGAGGTGGAGGAGTTCATCACCAACATTGTGACCTACAAGGAGCTGGAGAACATCAGCGATGAGAACGCCCTCAAGGGGCTCTCACTGCTCTTCTACGGCCTGGCCTCCACCTGGTGGCAGGGCGTCCGCAAGGAGGCCACCACCTGGAACGACGCCATCGCCCTCATCAGGGAGCATTTCTCGCCCACCAAGCCCGCCTACCAGGTCTACATGGAGTTCTTCGAGAAGAAGCAGGAGGACTTTGATCCCATCGACACATTTGTGGTCCACAAGCGCGCCCTACTGGCCCAGCTGCCCAACGGCCGTCACGACGAGGAGACGGAACTGGACCTGGCCTACGGCCTGCTGAACATCAAGTACCGCAAGCACATCTCCCGCCAGAGCGTCGCCACCTTCAAGGATCTGCTCGAACAGGGCAGGATCATTGAGCACAACAACCAGGAGGATGAGGATCTGGCGGCCAACTCGAAGAACGCCCGCGGCTCCCGACGCACCACCCGCTGCACCTACTGCAACTTCCGGGGTCACACCTTCGAGAACTGCCGCAAGCGGACTCGGGAGCAAGCCGAGAACGACGATTAAGTGGCCATACACACACCCCACCAAAGCGGAGAGAAGAGTTGTGGCCTTCTCTTCGTCATTATCATAGAACTTTTCGCAGCCACGCTGGCCGATCAACGCCAGAGAGAGCCCAACATCCGGAGGGAGTGGGAGCGGGAGCAGCAACATGTACGACGCCAACATCTGCAGCAGCAACAACAGCAGCAACATGTTCGACAGCGACAACCGCAGCTGATACAAACCACCCGCAAACGCACCTTCTACTTACTCACTGGCAACTGGCGCGCCGGTAAGCCTCGACTAGCTTCTGCCACCCACAAATCCACGCAGCTTCCACTACTACTCAACCTATTTTGGAAGCGGCTCCATCATCACACAACGCCACGCCGCCCTGCGGCTGACTTGGCACAGAACGCCAACTACCAGCCAGCAATTATTTTAATTGCACCATTGATTTTGAACTATTTGAACAAGCAATGCAACCGAGAATGTCAGGCGGGGGGCGGCTGAGGATCAGGCATTTCGTCCAGAAATTCGGGGACTCTCAATCTTTGACATCGAAATTCGTGGGCCCATAGGTGAGGTTTGTTGCTCGAGGCGAAAGCTTCGGGTGATTAAATCGCACACTGCCTGCGGATTTCATGTTCTTTGATTGAGTCCCCCGGATGGATGTTGTCTGATCTTCAGTCGCCCCCCTACCCTTGACCATTCTCACAACCGCCGCCTCCACCTTGTGCCGTTCAGCGGAAGATCAACGATTGGATGCCAGGAGCAGTGATCACTATATAATCAACAGTGTAGGGATTAACTTCTTCGGTGACCGTTTTCGGTGCATTTTTCGCCTGATTCGGGTCCTTTGTGAAGGTGGCAAAAAACCCCCCGCCTGACGACCGCCTGCTTAGATCCTTTTGTACGTGACATCGACAGCCTCGCGGAGTGGTGGCCCCCGGTTTCCGGTTGGAGCTTCGGCCCTTCCGGTTCCGGGAGCAGCTGCCTCGCGCGGTGTCTCTGGTGCGAGTGGAGCTACAGTGGGCGTGATTCGGGCAAAAACCTAAATTTCCTCGGAAATTTAAAAACCAAACAATTCAATTTTGACCTTTGTCAAAATACATCTGGAACACATCGCACTACGATGGCTCCCGATTCGCCATTCGTGCGGTTGGCACGTCAAAATTGTCACCCAATGGATTACGGGTGTAGGGCTGTATATCATTTCACCCCTGCGATCCTGTGACAAGCGTGAGGCACGCCAGCAAACCTCCACGTCGCGCCCCAAGGCGTGGCCACCCGGGGTTGAGACTCGTCACTGTCGCGCCCCTCCAGCCGTCACCGACTCTCTCCGCCCCCCACATGCAATCCGGCCTCCTTGCGCAGATGACATAGGCGCGTTAAGCCATCCGACCCGGGCACTCGAATACCGGACAATGGTGACCAGGCTTGTGAAGTGCGCCGTCAACAGGAGATTCGGCCACAGGCACAGCATGAGCTTCGCCCGCACTCCCCACGCCCCGAAACCAACTGTGGGGGCCTATTAATGACCGCAAGAGGCTGCGAGAAAGCAGAAAGCAATTAAACAAGAAAGACTGAACTCAGAAAACCATTAAACATCAACTCAAAACCACAAAAATCTTTGAAAATCTTTATTTATGGTTGGGGAAATGGTGGACATTCTTTTTCAGCTATTTTCTTTTCAGAATTTCCTAACGGCAAGCCAGAAAAATAGTACTAAATTCAATAGGCTTTGTTATTTAAATAAATACTTTAATTTAAAATAAAACAAGAAAGGAAGCTAACTTCGGCACGCCGAAGTTTGTATACCCTTGCAGATATTATTTCATGACATTTTACCTATACTTATTATGTTTACAGTTTGACAGTTACAGTTTTGCATTTCCAGCTTTACATTTTCCCTACATCTACCGATCGTTTATATGGCAGCTATATGATATAGTTGTTCGATTATTTTGAAATTTATACCAAAATTCTAGAATAATAAAATAAGCTTATATCCCGAAGTAGATGAAAATACGTTGAAAAACAACGAATCTATAATTTTTTTCTATTAATTTCCCGATCGTTCCTATGGCAGCTATATGATATAGTCGTCCGATTTTCATAAAATTTTTACCAAAATTCCGAAATAATATAAAATGGCCATATCTAAAAAATGGTGCAAAAATGTTGAAAAACAGCAAAGTTATAATTTTGTTTCTAAAAATATATCGAACATTTGTATGGCAGCTATATGATATAGTCGTCCGATCCGGCCAGTTCCGACATATATAGCAGTGAGAGCATATAGAAGACTATATGCAAAGTTTCATTGAGATAGCTTTAAAACTGAGGGACTAGTTTGCGTAGAAACGGACAGACGGACAGACGGACATGGCTAGATCGACTCGGCTGTTGATGCTGATCAAGAATATATATACTTTATAGGGTCGGAAACGTCTCCTTCACTGCGTTGCAAACTTCTGACTGAAATTATAATACCCTGCAAGGGTATAACAAGGAAACTACCTTTAGGAAGTCTGAGATTGTATACCCTAAAGGCTTCCATTGGGACCAGTTAACTGAATTCAAAATCCTTCATAACAAAGGCAAAAATGCACTAATTTCCATTCGGAAAGATTTTCTATGCGAGTTTTTATTGGTTTAACGAATCTGCGTATAAAATTTAAAGTTTTAAAGAAATTAATTTTTTTTTCATTTTTGACAATTTTAATGATGTAACCCCTTATCAAATTTTGAAAAAATTGAATAAAAAAAAAATTATTTTTTCTATAATGTCAGTTCGACTCGGCTGTTGATACTGATCAAGAATATATATGATTTATAGGGTGGGAAATGCCTTCTTTATCAAATAACAAAAAAAAGCCTAAAATATGGTTATTTCCGGGACTTTACATCGGATATTTTTATATGATAAATTTGTTGGGGAAACTTTTCCAGGAAAGTTTTAATTTGGTAAGTTTTCTGTGCTAACTTTTATTAGATTAAAACAAGAAAGGAAGCTAACTTCGGCACGCCGAAGTTTGTATACCCTTGCAGATTGGTTTCGATGTTTATATTATAGATTTAAATGCTGAAAACACTCACAAAACAGAGTTTCATTAAATTTTACCTATTCTTATTATGTTTACAGTTTGACAGTTTCAGTTTTACATTCCCAGCTTTACATATTTTATACATTTACCGATCGCTTCTATGGCAGCTATATGATATAGTTGTCCGATTTTTATAAAATTTATACCAAATTCTAGAATAATAAAAAAAGCTTATATCTGAGAGTAGATAAACATACGTTGGAAAACAACGAAGCTATAATTTTTATACCCTGGCAGGGTATTTTATTTCCAGTCCGAAGCTCATTACGCATTGAAGGCGTCATTTCCGACCCCATAAACCATATATATTCTTGATCAGCATTAGCAGGCGCATCTTTCTGGCTAAGTCCGGAGGAAAAAAATTTTTAATCAATTTTTTCAAAATTTTATAAGGGGTTACATCATTAAAATTCTCAAAATTTGATAAAATTTTCAATTTCTAACTAAGTATGCAGATTTGTTAACCTTATAAAAACTAACATAACACCGCTTTCCGAATGCAAATTAAGGCATTTTTGACAGAGTTATGCCTTTTTTAGTTTTTAATTTGCTATTTTTCTCTGTTCAATTACAGACTTTCCATCGTCATCGTCATTGCCATCGCCATCGCTCCTCAGTCATCAGTATCAGTAGACCTAACACCCACCCTGGACAAGAACCAAGGGAAAGGACCAACGACACACGCAAAAGGATGGTGGATAAGGGATGGGAATGGAGGAATAGGGATCAGGAATCAGGGATAAGGAGAGGAGGAGCACCGCCAGAAGCCAAAAGTCAAAGTATCATGGCAGTTTCGATCCGGAATGTTAATCTGTCATAAATAGGACTTCCAGTCAGGTCTGCCGGCTACTTTTACAACAACAGCAACGAACACAACAAGCAACATTTTCATTTTAAAATACTTTATTTTATTCTATGTTAATGAACCTAAATAAAAACAATGAAATACATTATTTTATATTATTTTGTTTTATTTTATTTGTCCTATATAAGAACAATTAAATGAGCATCACTGGTAGTAAGTGACATGACATTTTAATGCAAAATAGCTAGATGAGCATCACTGGCAGTTAGTGAAATTCCATTTTCTCCCAATAATGCAAAATAGCTAGATGCGCATCACTGCCGTTAAGCCTGATTTTATAGCCTCCCAATATGGCAAAATAGCTAGATGAGCATCACTGCCATATAGCCCGATTTTATTGCCCCAATATTGCAAAATATAGCCAAATGAGCATCACTGATGCACATGAGCATCACTGATGCAAGTGAGCAAAATTTCTAAAATTTGGCCGCTTTCCAAACTGGGGTAACAGGCGAACAGAAACCAGCAGCAAGCAACTGAAAACTGGTATAAACTGTTATAAAAACTTTTGGGCAAAAATAATAATTGGTATAAACTGTTATATTCCATTTTATGCATTTATACCTATTTGTTGCCGACAACAACAGCTTGATGGCAACGACAACCTTTTTACAACAACATCCCTACAGCAGCCCATCGAAATTTCCGAACATTTCCATGCAAAATGCCCGTTTCCCAAATTGGGGTAACAGGCGAACAGAAACCAGCAGCAAGCAACTGAAAACTGGTATAAACTGTTATAAAAAGTCCAAGTTTCGAACCATTGATCTTGGAGTAAGCGAAGACTCAAACCAGATGTGACCATATTGTAAATTTTTTGGCTAATATGTTGCTTAAATGCACCTGGGCACACTGAAACTGACTTTGCATCAGTGATGCTCATCTCCATCAGTGATGCTCATCTAGCTATATTGCAATATTGGGAGGCTATAAAATCGGGCTTAATGGCAGTGATGCTCATCTGGCTATATTGCAATATTGGGAGGCTATAAAATAAGACTTTGCATCAGTGATGCTCATCTATCTATTTTGTCCCAATAAAGAAATATAGCTAGATGAGCATCACTGCTATTAAGCCTGATATATTGCCTCCCAATATTGCAAAATAGCTACATGAGCATCACTGATGCAAAGTCTTATTTTATAGCCTCCCAATATTGCAATATAGCCAGATGAGCATCACTGCCATTAAGCCCGATTTTATAGCCTCCCAATATTGCAATATAGCTAGATGAGCATCACTGATGGAGATGAGCATCACTGATGCAAAGTCAGTTTCAGTGTGCCCAGGTGCATTTAAGCAACATATTAGCCAAAAAATTTACAATATGGTCACATCTGGTTTGAGTCTTCGCTTACTCCAAGATCAATGGTTCGAAACTTGGACTTTTTATAACAGTTTATACCAGTTTTCAGTTGCTTGCTGCTGGTTTCTGTTCGCCTGTTACCCCAATTTGGGAAACGGGCATTTTGCATGGAAATGTTCGGAAATTTCGATGGGCTGCTGTAGGGATGTTGTTGTAAAAAGGTTGTTGTTGCCATCAAGCTGTTGTTGTCGGCAACAAATAGGTATAAATGCATACAGTGAAATATAACAGTTTATACCAATTACTATTTTTGCCCAAAAGTTTTTATAACAGTTTATACCAGTTTTGAGTTGCTTGCTGCTGATTTCTGTTCGCCTGTTACCCCAGTTTGGAAAGCGGCCAATTTGAATGAAAAGTTTTGCTCACTTGCATCAGTGATGCTCATCTGCATCAATGATGCTCATCTGCATCAGTGATGCTCATCTGCATCAGTGATGCTCATCTGCATCAGTGATGCTCATCTGCATCAGTGATGCTCATCTGCATCAGTGATGCTCTATTGGGACAAAATGCATCTCTCTAACTGCCAGTGATGCTCAACTAGCTATTTTGCATTACTGGGACAAAATGGCAACTTTCTAACTGCCAGTGATGCTCATCCAGCTATTTTGCCGTATTGGAATAAAATGGACTGTTTGTTCAACGGGTGTTGAATGTGCTTTAACGTTGTGTGGGAAGACCCTATAACTGTCAAACAGTTTTGTGTGTGTTTTCAGCATTTTATTAATGTTATAAATAAATATACAACTTTTATATATTTTCTTTTATTTTTTATTTTTAATTATTTAATCAGAATGGCTCGATTCTTAGTGATCCAATTGCAATCTGCAAGGGTATACGAACTTCGGCGTGTCGAAGTTAGCTTCCTTTCTTGTTTTCCTATTTATTTCTCGATCGTTCCTATGGCAGCTATATCATATAGTCGTCCGATTTTCATAAAATTGTTACCAAAATTCTGAAATAATTTAAAATGACCATATCTAAAAAATTGTGCAGTTATAATTTTTTTTTCTAAAAATATATCGAACATTTGCATGGCAGCTATATGATATAGTCGTCCGATCCGACTTATTCCGACATATAAATATAGAATATATGCCCAACTGGGGACATATTTTCAGTATCATTTTTTTAATTATCCAGGATTTTATTTGAGTATATAGTATATAGAAGACTATATGCTAAGTTTCATTCAGATAGCATTAAAACTGAGGGGCTAGTTTGCGTAGAAACAGACAGACGGACAGATGAACAGACGGACAGACGGACATGGCTAGATCGACTCGGCTGTTGATGCTGATCAAGAATATATATACTTTATAGGGTCGGAAACGTCTCCTTCACTGCGTTGCAAACTTCTGACTGAAATTATAATACCCTGCAAGGGTATAATTAAATTTAAAGTTTAAAAATTAAAGTTTATTTTGAGTTTGAGTTAGGACAATTTAAATTTAAACACATACAAATTTTGTTAACAAAATTGGAAACATAAATTTATATTTTGTAACTAGAGTAATAGTAATAATAAAATCAATAGCCGAATATACCCAACATATTTTATCAATGGGTACCTAAAAATACCATAACACCACAACAACAAAACATAAATAAACACGGAACCTCGATGCGGCGGAAATGGAAGTGAGGCCAGACTTTCGATTACCTCTTCCATCTAGTATTTTATATGTTTGGTGTTGTTTTTACTAATTTAAAATTGATATAGGCAAGGCAGAGATAACTGTATATAAAATTAACCCTCTACGTTATATGAAAAACATTTAAAATTTAATTTAAAACGTCTTTCTCAAAGACATTTACCATTAATTTTTAATTCTGGCCATTTTCTGTTATTTGGCGTTAGTTCCATATAGGCTTGTTTTTGGTTCGGGCCATCTGGTCACACTGGCGCAAAATAATAATATTTCCTAATCAATATACCTGATATCAACAACTGATGCACAAAACACACCGTCTCACCGACAGCCAGTACATGGAGGTCGAGGGCCTACTGCAGGTGAGTGAGAAAACCACATTCGCAGCCGTTTTCGCATTGTCTGATGGCCGCTAACACGCCCTTTCTTTTCGCCCCGCCGCCCCGTCGCCACCACTCCACCCACTCGACTTGAAAAACCTGGCCAAAAACACGCACACAACCGCATTTGCATTCGCACTCGAATTCGCGCAGGCCATGGACATGCCCACCAGCCACGACCCGGAGGCGGATCTCGAGCCGGAGTCGACGTCACTGTGCCGATTGAGCCGCTACAACGTGACCAACCTGTACGAGGGGCCAGCGGGCGGAGGGGCCAGTGGGGCTCCGGCGATCCGCCAGCGCTGCTATACAATGCCCCATGTGCCACCGCCAGCGCCGCCCTCCACGCCAACGCTGCTGACGAGCGGCAGCAATAGCAACAGCAATAGCAACGGGAACTGCAGTTCCTCCGTGTCCGTCTCCATCTCGCCCACCTGCTCCGCCAGCAGCCATCCCCTGGAGAGCCCACTGAACCACTTCATTTACGTGAAGAATGGAAAGAACCTGCGTCGCGAATCGCGCTGCGTCGACTCGGAGCTGTCCAAGCTCTTCAACGTGGTGTCGATCACAAACCGGCTGACGGCGATCAAAAACCGCAGCAATTCCATTTCCGGCACCGGCACCCAGCTGGCGGAGCGCGGTATCCTCAATGCGTCGCGCACCATATCGAAGCTAAATGGGGCGACGGCCACCAAGATCTTCAAGATCCATCGCGACCCCAAGGAGTTTCTGCGCGAAACGGACGAGGATTCGGTGTCGGCGCCGGAGTATGATGAGGAGGAGGAGGACACGCGATTCCGTTTCTTTCGACGGGCCCGCTACTCGCGACGGGGTCGGAAGTTTGCCCGAAAATTCGCGCGATTCGAACATCACGAACGCATGGAGACCATTGTGGACAGCTTCGAGGCGGCTATGAGCTTCAACGATGCGGACACCTGAGAACCGGAGGCGACGGCGCCTGCGACAGCGACAGTTGAGGATGAAGCATGGCAGATGGTCGGCCAACCAATGTGATGAATGTGAATTTCAACTAAATTATTTTAATTGCTACAAACTACTATTATTACGATTATTATTACCGATTACCGAGCTGTTCTCTCCATACATTTAGTTTCCTTTTAACGCCGATTGCCGTCGCCTCCGGGATCCTTGACTCCAAAACGATCGGAGGATCGCGGACGCAGCGCAGGGCAAGCATTTAGTTTAGAGCTTAGTTTTACGCCTACGCCTCCTGGGGCGGAGCAGGTGCAGCCGGCCACCGAATGGTTGTTTGCTCCACAAAACAGAATGATTCCAATAAATGCACAAAACGTGTTGTATTCGAGAAGAGAGATTAATCGACAAGTGTTTTCTTTGCTGTACTAAATGGGTTAAGGAATTCAAACTAACATTTGTAGGGTTTGTATCCTTCTGTCTTTATTAACGACTATTTACATCTAGTTCCGAGAACTGATCTGCGCTTTGGAAGCCCAAATAACAACGTACATATTTTATAATTTGTAGACTGCCTTAAGCCTAATTCGAGTAATTCCCACAGCTTACACGCGCTCCGTGAAGAAGTTTGCCATCAGGTTCTCCTCCAGCTGGGCAGGATCAGTGACTGGCATGCGGCACACACGGTCGTGGCAAATGTAAACCGTTGTCTTGCCATTGACCATCTTGAATTTATTTTGCACCCGCTGATTGCAGGCCTCGTCCGGATGCAGGGGATCCACGTGCAGGATTATCATGCCCGGTATGTAAAACTTGCGGCAAATCTCCACGAAACGTTCAGTGTCGGGGGAATCCGGTCCCACCACGGCCACCAGGTCGAGACCGTTTTCGTGCAGCAGCAAAGCTGACAGCATCTCCGGTAGAGCATGTCCGAAGGGCGAGACATCGGCAAAGAAGTTCAGCAGCTTTCCTGCTCGTTCGAGATAGGCATCCTCGTCGTAATAGTGCGACAGCAGGGTGAGATTGCGGGCGGAGACACTGTTGCCACAGGGCTCGGCTCCATCGTGGTCTTGGGAATTGAAAGAATGAACTTAGATGATGCAATCTTCGATCCGTTTTCTGATTAAAATTACCTTCCTTTAGACGCACAATGACATTGGGCGCATTTTGCTGCGAAAAGAAATAGGCTCCGTTTCGGTCGTCCCAAAACAGTTTGTCCTGCGTCTCCTGCAGCTCCTTGGCCCAACGCAAGGCGCTGAGGTCCAATGAAGCCTTGTAATAATCCAGCAAGCCCTTGATGAGGAAGGCATAGTCATCCAGGAAGCCATCTATTTGGGATCTTAAATGAGAAAAGAGTGGAGTTTTGATTTTTTGAAGGAATCTTGTTAGCAAAGGAATACTCACTCATTCTTCTCCAGACTTGCATCCCCCACACCCACACCGTAGCAGGCACGAATGAGTTGCTTTCGCTCCGAATCGTACATGTCCTTGCGCAAAAAGTCCAAGAGTTCCTTGGCCGTTTGCATATACTGCTCTCGCTTTGCGGTACCGCAATTGGCCAGCTTGGAGAGTCCTGACAGCACCAGGCCATTCCAAGCGCATATGATCTTAGTGTCTAGATGTGGCCGCGGTCGCTGGTCCCGCAGCACATGCAAGATGTCATTTGCTGTGTCCAGCAGCTTGTCCAGTTGCTCCGCCTCCAGATTGAAATTAGAGCAGGTCTCCTCGTCGGATCCTCGCACAATAAGTATGTTCTTGCCAGTGAGGTGACCATGGGGATCGCTGAAAGCGGGCACATTTCCCGACGGCTTCAGGCCATAGTGGTACGAATAGATTTCAAAAGCCCGCTCTGGCGAGATGTTCCCAAACCTAGTGGCCTGTTTCTTGAACTCAGCTTGTATCTCATCCCAGGTCCAGGCGTAGAAGGCTCCCTCTACCTTTACAGTATCCTCGTGAGTGGGCAACGAATCCGCATCTTCGCCAGCATAAAAGCCGCCCAAAGGATGCCGGAGGTCTTTAAGCAAATACTGGTAGATCTTGTCCGCATAGCCCAGGAAGATTTCGCTCCTGGTCAGCTTGTAGGCATTGGCAAAGGCCGCCATTAGCTGACCTTGATCATAGAGCATCTTCTCAAAGTGCACGTTGTGCCAATCCTTGGTGGTTGCATAGCGAGCAAAGCCCCCGAAAATATGGTCATTGATGCCACCGCGGCCAATGTGATCCAGAGTCTGCAGCACCATGTCCAGCACATCCACATCCTTGGTAACAAGATAGCCATGAAACAGGAAATTGAGACGAGGCACCTCCGGGAACTTGGGCTCGGAGCCAAAGCCTCCATGGGTCTGATCGAATCGCTGCTTGTGGACATTGATGGCTTCGGATAACTTGGCCTCGGCACTGCCCGGCTCGAAGGCCGCCTCAGCCACAGCCGAGGCATTCTGGTTCTTCTGCAGAGCGCTCACCAAAGTAGAACCTGCTTGCACTAGGACTTCCTTATCGGTTCGCCACTTTTCGGCGATGGATTCCAGCACAGTGCCAAAGGAGGGCATTCCATAGCGGGATTTCGGTGGAAAATAAGTGTCCGCAACCAAAGGAGCCAAGTCTGGGGTAAGCCAGACGCTCATGGGCCAGCCACCACTGCCCTTAGACATAAGCAGGAACTGCATGTAGACCTTGTCAATGTCCGGACGCTCCTCACGATCCACCTTTATGTTTACAAAGTGCTTGTTCATGATGGCTGCCGTTTCGGGACTCTCGAAGGATTCGTGCTCCATCACATGGCACCAGTGACAGGTGGAGTAGCCCACCGACAGAAAGATTAGCTTGTTCTCGCTTCGGGCCTTCTCAAAGGCTTCCTCGCACCAAGGATACCTGGAATAATAGGAAAATATAATTAAAATGGGTTTGGATTTACATTTTGTCTTTGTCTTAAGATGAACACAAAGAAAATTCCCTCTCCAAGCTTTGTTTTCTCTTTTAATTATATAAAAGAATATCCTTAGATACGAATTATATAGAAATATATCCCAAGGATACCCTTAGATACTTACCAATCCACTGGATTGTAGGCATGCTGCAGCAGATACGGCGACTTGGAGGAGACTAATCGATTGCCCTTCTTGGGTGGCTCCTCCTTGGATGCTTCTCCTCCGGTGGCCATGCCTCTAAAGTCCTGTCTGCGCCACAAGGGTACTTCGTTAGTATATCTTATGTAACCATCAGAAGATACTTAACTTACCCTTTAAGAGTTGGATAAGTTCGCCCTATGAATCCCAGCCGCAGACCTACGAATTTTGACGTTTCCGCCTGAAGTTTCTGGGTTGCTTTCAGAGTGCTTCGTATCCAGGGGAGAAGTGATCTGGCCCTGAACATAGCAAATCGATCGGGATAATCAGGGCGCGCGCTTGGCTTTCACTCGGCCAATGCCAATAAAACTGCAACGTGTGCAAGCGACGCAACTTGTTTTTGGCCCAATGTTTTTAATATTATTTTGCATATCGCAGCAGAAGTGTGACCGTTGGCAAGCCCTTTTAATATACCGACGGGCTTTTGGGTAAAATATACTAAACTAATCCATTGTACTAAGCCCCGGACAAGTTTTCATTTTGAATTTGTAATAAGCTTAGTTTTTAAAGCCATGTAAAAGTACATTAGAGTGGAATAATTGAAAATTCTTAGATGGGGGTTTATTTCCAATTCTTATGAAATTATTTATATAGATTTTTATTCATATAGTTTTATTAAACTTTGAAAATCAACAGTAAACATTTTTGTAACTGATTTGGAACATTAACTTTTAGGGATTAATATATAATAAATCTATTTTGAAATTATAATAACAAATTCTTTATTTAATCCTGGATTATGTAAAATAGTAGGAAATAAATAGAATGTAAAACATATACTTAACAAAGCTCCCTTAAAATATATTTTTCGTTGCCTACTTTCTGGCATTCGCTTTAAATTATTGCCAAAAGAAACAAGGAAGCTAATTTGGGGAATACCTAATTTGGATGTCCTTGCAGTTCTTAATCAGATCAGGAATGAAATTTTAAAATTTTAAATTATTCATAACTTAGCCAAAAATGCTTTAATTTCCATTCGGAAAGCGCGTCTATGCTAGTTTTTAAAAGGTTAACAAACCCCCATACAAAATTAAACTTTTTAAAAAATTAAAAAATTTTCTCAATTTTCAAAATTTTAATGATGTAACCCCTTATAACATTTTGAAAAAATTAAAAAAAAATTTTTTTTTTAGTTACCTTGCCAGATTGATTCCGCTGTTGATGCTGATCAAGAATATATATGATTTATAGGGTCGGAAATGACTCCTTCTCTGAGTTTTAAGCCTTCGAATGAAATTATAATACTCTCCAAGCCTATGAAAAAAAAAACCTCAATATACTTAAGTTTTCATAATTTTTATTAATGCATACAATTTATCTTTGCTTTGATAATTATGTAGAAAATGCTTACACCTATGCGGCCGATACATAGAATAATTAACCTACTAGCTAGTTGAAAATCACAAATGAACATACAATATTTATACATTATAGTGTGGGTGTGGTAATTAAGCACATCGTTTTAAACTAATACACATTACGGACTGCGAACTGCAAACTGCGGACTGGACTGGCGGATCTCTGGGATCAGAACTCTCTCGATCGGCTCTCAACTTTGAGTTGACAGCTGGGAGAATCGAAGCGCCAGGATCGGATCGGCCAGGCTTTAGCAATCGCTTTGGACTAGCGCATCGCCGAGGGCCTCCAGCTGCTCCTCGCTGCCCTTGATCCTCTCGGCCAGGTCGCGTGCATCGGCAATCAGCTTGGCCTTCATGTTGATGAAGTAGTCGTAGTCGGCGCACAGGTCCGCACTTAGGTTCTTGCCCAGCAGTCCGGCGATGCTGGTGCCGCGCCGATCGATGTCCGCCTTGAGGCGCTGCGCCTCCTCCAGCTGCTCGTACAGAAGATCCCGCTTCGATTCCAGCGCACCCTGTTTCAAAAATAATAATTATAAATTAATAAATTATCAAGTTAATAATAGTAGTAAAGTAAGAACCCACCTTTTCATGCTGGCGCGTTTCCAGGCTGCTCTCCGTTTGGGCCAGGCGCTCGGAGAGTGACAGCAGCAGGCTGGTGATGTGACCCACGTCGTCGACGTAGGTACGGAACTTGGACGCCTCACTGGGCCGCACCTTCTCCGCCAGCCTGGCGAAGAGGTCCTGGCCCAGTTTATCATTGGCCGAGCTCTCCTCGCCGATGGTCTGCTGTTCGCGCTTCAGGGAGCCAATTTTTTGGTTCAAATGCTTGATGAGCTCGTCCTGGAAAAGGTTTAAAAGATTCATCAATTAGTTATTTATTTCTTTAAATTTAAATTTGATTTTAATCACTCACCAGCTTCTGTTTAATTAAATTCGTGGACTCGCCGCCAGGCTCTCCGAGCTGCAGCTCCACACTGGCCACCTGGATTTCCGTGGTCGCCAGGACCGACTTCATCCGCATAAGCGTAGAGGTGCCCACGTCCCGCTTGGCCAGCCGAAGCGGCACATCCGGATTGTACAGATTGCTGACATAGTGCGAGGTGGGCTTGCAGCTCTTTGGTGTGAGAATATCGGCGAGCTTGTCGCCCGGCGTCAGGAGCTTCACCAACTCCCGGCTCATCAGCTCGTAGTCCAGCTCGATGGGCTGTCGCTGACGGGGCTGCAGAGTGGTTCGCGTCTGCTGCTCCTCGCGAGCGGCTTCGAGGTCCGTGTCCCGATCCTCCAGCTCATCGGTTTGGCAGGCCATGTCCGTTGTACTGGGCTTCGGTTTGGGCTTGGGATTCACCATTAGCACCAGTTCGCTGCGCTGCATCAGTTGCAGCTCCTTGACTTCCGGTTCCTTGGCGGGCAGATCGGACAGATCCTCTTCCAAAGGCGGTGGACTGGGCGGTGGCGGGGGCGTCAGCAGTGGTTCGTTGAGGAAACTGGCAGTGGGACTGGTTATCATGGGGCTGCTGTAGCCGCCGAGGAGACCAGTATCGCAGAGATGCGCCGACATCAGCTGCGACTGGAGTTGGGTGATCTTCTCGATGTTCTCCCGCAGAGATTCCTGCCGGTTCATCGTCGGCTTGGCTGGTGGCGTCATTGTGTTTGTGTTCGAGTTCAGGGTGGTGCTGATCACCTCGGCGCGGAATATGTGCGCTTCGGGCTTAGGAATCGCGTTCGTTATAGGATTGACAATGCACTCTAGAGAACTGGTGCTCAGACTGCAGTCCGAGTGCGAGGAGGCCGGCGAGAGGCGTGGCGGCGTGGACGTGGGCGTCGGGTTAGGCGAGGCGGTGGGCAGCACCTCCTCCAGCGTCGTCTCGAGGTCGTGGGCGGCTTGCTTGAGATCCACATGGGACTGGGTCACCAGCGGCGACATGCTCACCGCGTTCGACTGCTTTACATCGTACGACTGAGATCTGGTATATTGCTGCTGTGCGATTTGTCCTGGCTTCGTGCTCTTGCCATAACCCTGGCCCAGAACTGGCGTGGAGTAGCGTTGGCCGCCGTAATACGGTGGCGTGGCACTCGTCGGGGAATTCCCAGTCAGGTTATTGTTGGAGCCATAGCGCAGGGTCACGTTGGCATCGCCATTCGGCGAGCCAGGCTGCAGCTTTGGCTGTTGCTGGAGCTTAACGCCCAGGGGCAGGACATCTGGTAGGTTATTGGGCAGCTTCCCAGTCACCCCTCCATAGCTGGGCTTTGTGTGGGCCACCAGGTCCTCGTTGGAGGTCAGGGTTAGCTTGTAGATGCCATGGTCCGGATCTGTGTTGTTCAGCTTCTCGAGACTCTGGCGCGGCAAATACGAGGCCTTGGAATTCGATCTGTAAAATAAAGGAAGGGGTTATTTATTAGTTAAAGTTATTTCAAGATTGAGAAGAATTTATTGGAATTGGAATTACTTCATATTTGATGTTTTAGATTTCTTAAATTGACATTACAATACAAGAATGTTAAGATCAAGGTTCTTTAAGTCAGATCTACAAACTTATAGACCTTTTATAAACCTCCTTTTTGACCTATTAAAATTCTTATGTAAATATATATATATAGATATAGATTTCTAAACTAATGAGAAATCTTGCAGCTCATTAAATTTAAACGACTTGAGATTGTTAGTTATAAATCAAAGATCTGGGCTCAGCTTCCAGCTGGGATTTGCAAACCTATTTTCGTTTTTAGAACTGTCTTGCAACGCCCGACACCACTGCCATTAAATAAAATAAAGGCTGGGTGTCTTGTCAGTTGGCTGGCCAAAATGCCAGCTGCCCGGGGTCAGCCGTGGGGGTCAGCGGCAGTAGCCACCACGATTTGCAGTTAAAAGCTGTAAAAACAACTGACTGTTCCCCAAAGCCCACGGGCACGTCTCATTAATGCAAATGAGAGAGCGACCATAATCTGGACAGATGCTAATTGAGTCCTCGGCATCGGGAGAGAAGATGCTATCTTTATCCCGGAGCACCCACATATCGTCATATTGCCCTGCCATCAGATGGAAGCGAAAGCGTCGACGACCGAGGAAATTATTCTGTGCACGATGCGCGATGTGTTAAGCTGATTTCGGAGACACAGAGGGCACAACCAGGCGGAATAAAAACGAAAGTGAAATGTTTACAGTGCAATTATAAAGAGTTTTATGTTTCAGTTTCGGTTTCGGCTTGAGAAAAGCGAAAAATTCAGAGACGGGGGCCCCCATTTTAGTGTGCAAAGCGTATGACGGCCACGTCCGCTTCCCGTCCCTTGACAACTTTCAAAAGTGCTAAACTAATTTGTTATGTTTTTGTGTACATATCATCGCTCTCGGTTTTATTGTAAAAGGCTTTTGTTTTGGGGGATTTTCGGTTCGGCTTGGCCACCCCCAGGTTCGCAAAATCTTTATTGTTTCTGCACACACATTACATATATAGCCCACATGAGGTATATGTAGTATATATAAAGTGTTTTGCATCTGAAGAAAGCCGTCGAAGAAATGTTGTCGCATTTGCATAAATTAAGAGCGGTGTGGGGAGTGGGATAGACATTTGGGACTGGCTTACATCACACGGCTAGACAAAACAGCTGTTGGCTGGAGCTGTAGCTGTAGCTGTAGCTCTATCTGTATCTGTATCTGTAGCCAGCAGTTGCAGATGTATCTCGTGGCTAGTTAGCATTTGCATAAGCCAGTCTTTTGTGTCTAGGCTGATGCTCCATCGCTTCTTCCCCACTTTCTTCGCCGCCAAAGAGAGCTGCAGATGCCGCTCTCTTGCCTTTCCTAATCACTTCCGTTCGTGGCTAGTTGAGTAAGTCTTCTCTGTTGCCAATTTGGCCAAGACAAAAGGCCTGAAAACGGTTGCATTAGCATGGATTTGCATATCAGTACGATGACATCACAAGATTTAATTAAGAGCACATCTAGCCTTAAGCCAAGAACATACAGATTGCATCTAGAGACCCAGCATATCTCTTGTTTGTTAACTTGTAATCTAGGGACCACAACATAGATAAGACC